AACTCCTTTACCTTGAACATTTTTGCCTTTTGCTTTAATCTTCTCATTCCTGCTAATCCACCCAGTTCATCACCACAAATTTATTTATTTAAAACTTTTATATGCCATCCCTTATGCATGGCATCTCAGGACAGCTTACAATGATTAAAATCAGAATACAATAATCCATACTAATATAATAAATACCATATAACCAGTAAAAATAAATCAAATGAAAAGCAACTGTTAAAACATTAAAATACCAATTTTTTAAAATAGCGATTGAATAACAAGGTTTTGACCTGGTGCCAAAAAGAGTATAAGCTCGGCACCAGGCAAACCTCTCTGGGGAGCGCATTCCACAATCTGGGTGCCACTGCAGAGAAAGCCCTACTCTGAGTAGATGTATTTTTTACCTCCTTCAAGGAGGGTTCTCTCCCGCAGACCTTAAGAGGCATGAGGGCACATATATGATTGTGAGCCGCCCCGAGACTTCGGCGAATGGGGCGGCATAGAAGTTCTCTAATAAATAAATAAATTTAAGGGCATATAAATGCAACATAAAAATGGAGTAAACACAGCTGAGAGTAGGGCTGAAGAAACAACTGACTGAAAAAGCCCGTTCAAAATTATTAAGAGAACAGCAGAAGTGGGTTGTTTTGTTAACCTTCACAAATGATTTATAAACAGTGCTTATGAATGCAAAGGAAACTTCTTGCTTTTGGCTCTTGGCATAACTGCCTACCCTTAATAAAAAGCTTCCTGAAGTATTTGTTCCCCTACAACAGGCTGAGCTCAGTACCCATACTGAAAACACCAAATTAAAGCATTCAGCTACCTTTGCCTTGACCTTTACATACTGCTCAGGGTAAGAGTGGGTGACTTTTTGGCAATCCATTGCTCAGCCCTGAGCGAACAACAGCAATTAGAAGCTCCATGCATATGATAGGAAATCCCCTCTCCTCAGCCTTCTGAGCCACCAACCAGCAAGAGAGTATGTTACTGAGAGGAAGAAAACCCCCTGTGCAGTGCAGGACACCAAGTTAAACCATCCCTCTCAGATGACTCTCCAGCTGCATCTTGAATGTCTTCAGTGTGTGAGAGCCAGTGTGGTGTAGTGGTTAAGAGCATGGGACTGGGACTCAGGCGATCTGGGTTCGAGTCCCCGCTCAGCCATGGAGCCAACTGGGTGACTTTGGGCCAGTCACAGACTCTCAGCCCAACCTACCTCACAGGGTTGTTGTTGTGGGGATAAGATGGAGGAGGATGCAAGCTGCCTTGACCCCATTGTAGGAAAAAGGCAAGATACAAATCGATAAATAAATAAACCCTTCCTAGATAATTGGTTTCATTTTTGTACTGTTCTAACAGTCAGAAAGTTCTTCCTGGTGGCCAGCCAGAACCTGGCTCCCTGTAACTTCAGCCCATTGTTCCCTGTCACTTATAGTTTGCTCTGTGCATTAAGGAAAGTGGAGGGACCTGAAGAGGAAGCCACATTTCCCCACTCACTGAGCTATGTCCAGCCCATGGATGTGGAGCAGTGGTGGTTTGCTTGCAACCTTCCAGCTGTTTTGCTTACACCTCCAATCATCCCTCACCATTGACTATACTAACTAGAATGGTGGATGGTGTGGCTCTTCAGGTGCCTTGGCCTGCCTGTATCTGGTATGCACAGAGCATAGAAAGATACAAAACCCACCGAAGTCTTCACACTGGAAATTCAACCACAGTTCTGCTTGTACATTGTTTCTGCTTCACAACGCTGCCTGGCAGTCTCATCAAATTCTGTGAACAAGGCAATTGTAGAATAGAAGCCTCCTCCTGAAGAACCATAGTGTTATGACTCGCACTACTCCTCTGCTGCCAGATGAGTTGTGCAGAAGTAGAGGAGACTTTGCTGAAAGAAATCAGGACAAACCTGAAGCTGCCTTCTCATATTTCTTTACAGGGAATCAAAGGAAATTCCATGGATCTAAAAACTCACACTAATTCTGGGCCAATCAAAAGAAATCTTGTTGTTTATTTCATTTCTTTACTGCCCCATAGCCAAAGTTCTCTTGTGAAAAACTAGAGTTATAAAATTAGTTCATGTGGACAATCTCAAGAAAGGTTTGTTATGCTGGTTCCTGATAATGTGTATTGTAAAATAACTTCCTTTTCGTGAAAGTTCATGCAGATTTTTGAGATGTAAGGCATACTCTATCCAGAAAAGAAATCAGAAACCAATTTGGTAGCAGAATCAAAGCCAAATTTTAAAATGGATTTAATCAGCAGTTTGAAATGTTCAATTGGCATTAACCAAGAGGTGCATGGCCTTCTGGTATAAAAACAGTTCTGATCTCCCTTTTCACTCTTGTTTGATTGGATGCCTCAGTATTGACCTACATGTTTGACTATGTGAAGCTGTGACTCAACTTCTCTATTAGCTCCTGTTTTCCTTCCACCGTCTTCTTTCATGTGGGACAAGAACTAAACTTACCTCATTTACAAAGTGTATGAAAACAATATATCAGAACCTCCACAGTTGTGCAAGTATGGCTAAAAATAAAAAAGAAGAAGCGCATGTTGCACACTGTGTGTGTAAATCAAAAAGTAATCAGGTTGCCAACCACTGACAGCCTCGAATGTACCACACGGGCACTTTGAAAAGCAGTGGCCAAAAGAGCTGTGTAGAACAAAAATGGCTTCCAGTCATGGTGGGTGGAGGGGCCAAGTCAGTCCTGGCCTGCTGTCCGCTGAGATGCTGCTAGGAGGACTGAAGGTGAAGGAGAACGTGAACAAGCCACAGCAAGCCAAATCATCCCTCAGATACACTGTGAGTTCTCCACAAAGCAAGCACGCCATCATGGCTTATTGCCAGGGTGGGTTGGCACAATGTATGCACATGCCCATTGCATTCAGCCTCATCAAGAATGCGCAGACCTCAGACTACGTCCTAGTCAACTTCGTGTATTGGATTGGACTGCCAGATTCTGATCCTTGCTCAGACTGACACTGTTGGCCCTAGTAAACTGTATACATTTCACAAATTTACAGCTGCGCAGTTTCCAATGTGGCAGGGGATAATGATGAGTGTGCTTTGTCTAAAATACAAATGACAATAAAATAGAAAATTTCACTACAGAAATTTTTAAAAATTGAAATGACCTAATTAGACAAAATGCAACAAAGCCTGTTGAAAATACTGTATACCCCTACCCTCATGCTATTTAGAGTTGTTTCAGCATAGGGGGCAGTACTCAGGTATAGTGCAGCAGGGATCAGTGTTCCATTAAATAGTGCAGTCCCAAACTATGTAGGGCTTTCTGTGTTAAGACCAGAACTCTGAATCAGTGTCAGAAGCACATAGGATGCCAGTGCAAGTGGATCACAATGGGTGCCACATACTCAGACCTTCTGCTCACGGCTACTGGCCTGGCTGCTGCATTTGGCACAGGATCCAACTTCTGAGCAGTCTTCAGGGGCAGACCTTACATACAGTACATTGCAGTAACCTAGTTTAGAGACTACCAGAGCACAGATTATGGAAACCAAGCTACCCCTGCCTAGATGGGGGCATAGCTGGGCCACCACAGGAGGCTGGTAGAAGGTACTCTTCTACTGAGGTACTGAGGCCACTTGATCCTTAAGTAACAGTAGTGGATCAAGGAGGGTCTCCAAGTTGCACAGCTGCTCTTTCAAGGGAGCATAACCCCATCCAGAACAGATTAAGTATCACCCATCCACCCAGCTCTGGTCAGAGGAACTGCCCACTAACATCTGGAAGACAGTGGATTGAAAATGAGTATTCTGTTCAGGCAGCTTGAACTAAAGCAAGCAGAAGCGGGGCATAGTTCAGACTACATACATAAGATGCTCCAAATTAGTCAATGCCCATCAGAGGGCAGTCCAGTCACTTCAGTCTGACCCAGATGATAGTTTGTCCCCTTTTTCCCACATCAGTCCCCGTCCACTGTGTGTCTATTCAACATGCATATTCTGCTCCAGAGGCTGACAGAGCACTTTATCAGCTTGTACGCCTGCCAGGTCTGCAGTGCAGAGTCTGGTGCCAGGTATTAAGTAAATGGAAAATAGCATCTGCTGCCAATACACACACACATTTATTCTTGCCAGCAGTTCCTACTCCCTCTCTTGCACAGAGGAAAATGTGGTTTGTGTATCATTTCTGATACAGAATTTATGTATTATTTTTACTCTGGCTTGAATGATTCTACCAAATGCTCAGAATAGGGAAAGTCCTTTTGTGTACCTTTAATCATCAGTATAAAGGAAAAACAATTGAAAGGAATTTTCCCCTCCTGTCACAATTGTGTTTGGGATTTTACCCCCATTATAAATCAAAGAAATGGATAATCTTTGTCTTATCATGTTCCTGGAAAAATCTTTTGATGATCCAGAAATATGGCCTAAGAGCATTCCTATGTGCAACTCATGTCCCTGTAGATCAAGTGTGCATGAAAACTTGAGCTTTAGGAACAAACAAAAAACACACCATTCAGCCGCTGCTGTCTGAGCCCAGCACCCTCCTCTTCACAGCCAGCACAGAAAGAACAGTGCCAGTTGCCTTTCCAAGCTCAGAAAAGCAACCAAGGAGCAGGAGGAAAGCAGTTTTTTGGGGGTGGGGAGTTAGAAAGGCCAGGGTACAAGTTATCTTAAACCTCCTCCACTTTCCTTCCTGCCCTTTCCGGCATGCCCTCACTAGACAGGCTGAAAAGTGCATCCAAAACAAAACTAAACAAAACAGGAGACTGGAGGATGGAGAAGTGAAGGCATTCCTCTAGCCCTGCTTTCCTCAGCCTAGCAGGACACAGGAAGTACAGAAGCCTCTGAGTTCAGGAGTTTCTGCGCAGCTTGGGCATGGTTGATAGGATCACACCCTTAGTCACCTGTAAAAGAAAAGGCCCTCACCTTGCCCTGACCTAGTGCAATCACCCACAAGGCTAACCATTCCCATTCTCTAATTCCCTTAAACACCAAACTTGCAAAGGTCAGTGTTATCACTGTTTATGAACATTGTAAACCTTTGCACTTAGGGTTGTTTCTGATGGCATCTGTTCATGAGCAGAATGGACATTTCTGGTGGAAATGATTTCTTCTTCTCCTGCAGTTCTCGATGTGCTGCCTGTGATCTCAGCATCTGGAATTCAGAAGTACTACCAGTGAACATGGTCACACAATTTATCTGTCATGGTTATTATTCACTAAAGGTGCAATCCTAATTTAAACAGAAAAAGTTTTACAATTTCCAGCATTCCTCCAGCAAGCCATGTCGTTCAAAGAGAAGAAAAGTCCTACAATTGGTTGGGACTTGCTGGGAGTTGTAGGATCTGTCTGATTATGCATAAGATTGCATCCTAAAGCTGCCCTTCTCCAAGAATGTGTTTAGCTCCATTTTGAAGCCATCAGAGCCAGTGGCTATCACATTTGCTGGAAATGATTTGCAATAAGATAAAATACATAAAGTAGGCATTTTCTTTTGCCTGTCCTCAATCTATTACGGATTCCATTAAATTTACTGTCTGCTCTCTCGTGTGAGTCATATCCCTTCATTTGAAGCCATAATTAATCTCCACTACAAAAGAAAATTGCTTCTGAGAGCTTTTACAAATGCTCATGGTTGTGCGGAGACTCAGCAACAGAGGACCTCTAGCTTAGACTTATCGGCTGCAACATAATGAAAATTAATTGTGCAATATTATACACACTTACCTAGAAGTAAGACACATGGAAGTTCACCCAGTTACAGCATAGACACAACACACTCGGTCACCGAGGTGGCTCCAATAAGCCATGGCTCACTGTAGGATTTGTAGTCATCCCTTGACTCGCCATGTCATCAGAAGCCAGACAACAAAACAAACCCAGGTGTAGCCCAAACCCTACTGAGCCACTTGGCAAAAGCAGCAAAAACACTTGTTGCTCCAGCCAAGCACCTCTGGAAGCCACGTCAAAGTGACCAAGCAACAACTAGCTGGTTGTTAAAAGCTCTGCATGCCAGCGCAGTCCCAGCTTAAAGGGAGGCAGCAGCTGCAGCACAGCATGACCCATGCTATCTTCAGGTCCCTCTCTCCTGCCCACCACCCTGGCCCACTAGGGCAGAAGGAAGATGCCCACAATATGATTTGACTCGTCTAGAGGAGAATGAGCAGCTGGTCTCTCCCCCTTGCCTGATTCAGGCAGTGACTGGAGCTTGAGGGCATGCCATGCAGTGCTTCCCAGCAGCAATGACCAGCAGGTACCCCCACCCCAGCTCACCTACTCCAGCTGGTTTGGAGGATTCCTTGCAAGCCTTGCAAGCAGTGATATTAAGCACTTCCACTCCAGCTTGCAAGGGGTCCTAACTGGCTGGAAGCCCAGCAGAATGCAGCTCATCCCATCTCCACCCAACACCCAACAGAACACAGCTCATCGTCTCCCCCTGCCCCCAGCTCTTTTAAAGGAGGCCCAGCAGGAGATGGGTCATCCCTCTTCCACACACTTGGCAGGCAGTTGCATGCCTGGGGACCAGAGAAGCTGTGTTTGCTGGGCCTCTGCTGGCTCAGAGCCCTGCAGGAAGGGTTTGCTTGCAAGACCCCTGCTGTCCCTGCCTGCTGTGCTCCACTGGCATCAGGGGAAAGTCTCCATTGCTGTTTCCCAGCACAGCCTGCCCTTTCGGCTTAGCACAGTGGGAAGCAGCACCCCTGAGTCCCTCCCTGATCCCCTGTTCTTGGCTGTGCTGCCAGGCAGTCCTGGAGGTGGGGAAAGACCCCGTGCCCCCCTGCAGAAGGACTGAGGGGAGAGTTGGTGAAGGAACTGGCAGTCAGGCACATTGGCTTAGGGGGCACACAAAGATGAGGGGCTGGCTTAGGGGGATGCTACTCCTGGCAAGTGCATCAGCGGTAACACAGCTTATAAACCACACTGGGTAGCTTTTTACTGCGTTATCCTGCTGTATGAACCCTCCCAAAGTTTCAAAGTTCCCTCAGCCAATCAGTCAGCAGGTGCCCCCAGCCTGTCCTCCTGCCTCACGACCTCTTATTTTTATTAATTCCCTCCCCTGCTTTTCTCACCCATAGGCAAATCTGCACGTTCACTTTCTGTCGCTCTTCTTTCCCCCCACCCGCTTTGTTTGCCTTTCCTACAAGGGAGGGGCCATCGCGGAAGAGCGCAGGCACGCGGGAAAATCCCTCCGTACCCACTGCTAGTAAGTATAAGCAATGCACGCTGGATGGACCGATGGGCTCTTACACGGCACTTTCCTACATTCATAAAGAATCCTGCCCCTGCCCCCTCCTCCGTTCTCTTCCTCTCTCATTTAGGGTACGATCCTAGGCACGCTCACCCGAAAGTGGTCTCCATAGAGTGTTATGGACTTTTTTCCGAATAAACGTGCCAACGCCTCCACTATCAGTTGCTTACTCATAGATGCAAACGGTTTCACAATGCCAGGCTGCGGTTTATCCCGTACACTTACCCGAGTGCTAAGTTAAACGCCCTTGATTTCAGCTTAGCTGGAGACGATTCACGAACTCCGCGCTGGAGAGTAAGGAGGGGTTTCTGGGTGTGGATCATGTCATAGTGATGCGACATGCGGAGAAGGGAGAGCGCAAAGAGGGGCGGCTGGGGTAACAAAGTTTGCTGCGGGCGCGCAAGGCGGCGCGGAGATCGGCGGCGGGCTGCAAAGCGGAAGAAGAGCGGGGGAGAGGCGGCATGTGGGAGAGGGGAGCGGATCCGCGCCAGGGACGTCGGCCTGAGTCGGTCTGCGCGTGGGAGGAGTGGCCGGCGGGGTGCGCCGGGCGAGGAAAGAGCGCCTGGCAGCGATGGCGCGGCGGGCCCCGGCGGGGCGCTGCGCGAGGCCCCTGACGGCAAGGCGGCTGGCGGGGTGGGTGAGCGGTGGTGGAAAATCAAGTGGCCGGAGCGGCCTCCTCTCTCCTTCCGGAAAGATGATGGGCCGCTGCGCGCAAACATTTCTCGTGCTCTGGGTGCCAGTGTTGGAGCGAAAAGGGCTTTCTCTCCCTCCCCAGCCCCACCTCCTTCTGCGTTTGCTCTTTTCTTCGGAGTGGGGACGGGTGTGGCTCTGCCTCTGGCCAACGGGGAAGCCTCGGATCGGGTTCATCGGTGAAGTGCCCCGCTTCGCGCTGTGCCGCACCCACTAGGCTAAGCGGTCTGCTGACTCAGATGGCATCGGGATGGCGCGATGGGGGGCGGGGGCTTCCTCGCCAGACGTTGCCCCGATTCTAGCCGTGTAAAGCGGGAGTGGAGAGCCAGCCGATGGGGAAAAGAGAGCAACTCCTAAAGGCGTGAAAGCACCCGCTCTTTGCGCGCCCGCAAAACACCCGTGGAAAGGGTGGCCTTGCAACTCCTAGCGCATCGCCCGGCTCTTGAGCGAGACGCTCACCTTGCCCGTCTTCTCTTTTACCCAAGGTATCTGCTAGATTTTAAAAGCTTGTCTTTCCAAGAGACAGCCTAACTTCTCAATGGACCGTGAATCCCGGTTCTGCCCTATACTTGCTATCACGTCCAGCCCTCGGTGCGACCTGTCACAGATTAAAGAAATCCCTTGGACCAGGAACTCGAGGTAGGACTTGCATTGAAAGGCTGGCTTGTAGCATGCTTGGGGTAGTGAGTGGATGCACCAAGTTCTGATTCTCAAATGTACCGAACAACAGATTTTCTGTGATGGGGCTTTTGGACTAGGGGGCTATAGAAAGTACATTTCAAGAACAGGTAATAATTTTTCACTGTCCAAAAGCACTCTGGTCTGGCTGCCAGATATGGAGCCCAGAGCTATGTATGCTTGCACTAAGAGGTGGCAATCTTAGAGATTTCCTAGAACCTGCTACTTTGAGAGATGGGATGGATGCAGCTGTTATGCTGCTGTTCTGGTCACTTTCAAGGAGCATTTGTTTTCTTTGATCCTAATTTGTTTTCTTTGATCCTAATTTCTGTGATCCTAAGTGTATCAATGCAGAAATGAGTCTCACTGAGTTCAGTGAAATTTACTCATAGGATTCATTTCATTCTGGTTTCAGCCTGATTTTGAAACTGAAACTTGAGGATAACCTGGGCCAAGAGAAGAACAGAGGGAAGGCAACCCTCTTGGTTCTTTTAGACCTCCCAGAGATGCTTAATGGCATCAACCCTGGTATCCTCCTGAATAGACTGTCTCAGTTGACACATGCGGACATTGTATTACAATGGTCCACTCCTTCTTGAATGGCAAAGGTCACAAAGTTGTGCTAGGGAATTATTGTTCTGCAGGAAGAGGCTATCTGGAGATGTGGGCTGAAGTGTCATTAATCTGAGTATGGCACTCAGTTCTACCATTTCTTTTTGTCTAGCACAGGTGAGGTTGATGATGTTCTGAACAAGAGCCTGAGCTGGGTAATGCACATGGTTTGGACATGCACATTTTAGGCATGTCAGGAGTGGAGCTGGCTGGAGCCAGGGGTCAGACTAGATGGCCCAGGAGACCCCTTCTGACTCACTCTGATTCTATGTTTCTAATGGACTGGATGAAGGCCAATATATTGGCTCACTCCAGTTGAGACAGAGATGGTGGATTATTTATCTATCAGGTTAAGGGAGCAATCCTGTAGCCAGCAGACAAATGTTTGAGGAGCGAAAGAATATTTCAAATTTCCCAATCTGATGTTTGCAAACAAATGTAGCTAATATTGGCTTAGGTAGCCCCTGTCCAATACTGCTGTTGTAATTAGGAACAGCACAACTAATAGCAGTTCAGGCAAAAATCCAGAGGACAGGGTGGAGTTAATGGAAAGATGATCAATGGAATGGCTGCTTCCTCAGACAAAAGGGGGAAGCGAACTCTTAGACAGATAGGAAGTGGGCATCCTTGAGCAAGGAGTTATGCCAGAAACCTGTTGGGTCAGTATTTGCTTGTCAGCTAGCCAGAAGTCAAGACTTAAAAGAGCTGCCACCATGGTAGGTATCCTTCACCTCTGCCTCACACCCAGCAGATGCTCACTGACAGGAAGAAATGCTTGAAACAGCAGTGTAAACAGTTAAGAGGATTCTGAAAACAATTCTGCTTGTGGTTTTTGTATAAAGTATAGGGGGAATCTTTGTATGTATTGCTTGTTTAGTGATATAACTCGAAAGTATCAAGAATATCTTTAATTATGTCCTTTATAAGGCAGGGAATTTTTATGTTTTAAACTATACTTTGGTCAAGCCATTCAGTAAAATTCAGAGCCTTGTTAAACTCACCTCTAGCAGTAAAGATTGGATAAAAAAAGCCACAGACAACTCTGGGGAATGGCAGGATGGGGGCGGGTCAACCCTAGAGACGCTTCAGGGAGCACTGTCACAGTATGCAAAATGCACTGGTTGGGCCACATGCTAATGATTTCAGTGAAGTTTCCATTGTGATGAATGCATGATCTGGAGCTGGAGAGAGGGTAGGTGCAGGAAAGGACCCTTCAAAAATGTTCTTTTCTAAAAAAAATCCCATTAAGTTATGTGCAAGTATGAAGGTGCCAGATAACTGTGATATTTTTTAAGGAAGCTTTTCCTGCCCCACATTAAAAAATCATGAAGAGGAGAAGAGGATGGGGAAAGCAGAGAAGTGTCTGTTGTGGTGCTTGCTGTTCTTCTATAATCTATAGGGTGAAGCCTGTGGAATCAACACCTGCATTCCCCTCCACCCAAAAGCAGCTCTCAAAACTCCTCTCCTGTGTTGATTTTATGGAGAGTAAGCATCACTGAAAATAATTTGATTTACTTCTGAGTAGACATGCAGCTGGATATGTTTTTAGCTAGTTGTTCCTCACAGATGAAAGGAGGGGAGGGAGGAAGTGTCAGGACCTGGGCAGCTCCATCAGGTGGCCCGAAGCAGAACTCCCACCCGGAGTATTTGCAGGATCAGTCCAAGAACCTGCTGGCGCTTTCAGCCTCCTGATGAGCACCGGGCTGGGACACCTGGACAAAGAGCTACATTTTATTTATTTTTTTATTTTATTTTTCAATTTTCAATTTCAATGCAGGTCTTCCTGCTTGCTGCGATGTGGGTTAGCTCCTGTACCTTGCTGCATCTGGTATCCTGTCTTGCTGGTATTCTGCTTCACTGTCTTGCCTCAGCAACACAGGTCTCTTGCTTGATCCAGTACCCACATCCTGCCTGATCTCTGCTTGATCCAGTCCCTGCCTTGCCTTGCCCGGGTTTGCTACCTTACTGTTTGCTACAACTTTGCTGCTCCTGTATCCTGCCAAGTTATCCTGCCTCAGGTACTGGCTCTCTGCTCTGTTGTGTTCCTGATTTTTGACCTTTCATTTGTTTGTATCCTTGTCTCGCCTTGATGTATACTCCTGGTTCATGACTTTGGCCTTTTATTTGACTACAACTCTGCCTCTGACTTCATTACTCTGGATGTTTGGACTCTGTTTACCCTCTGCTTCACCTTGAAGCCTGTTGCCTGGATGTTGACATCTCTGCCTTGATACCTGCTGCCCATGGCCTGGCCCATAATAGAAAGTGGCATCACATTTACTAGGCAAATTAGAGAGAGAGAGAGAGAGACAGAGAGAGGGAGAAACAGAGAAGCCTGAAACAGGGAGCAGGAGAGCAAGTGAAAGCTGATAGGCCTTATCTCCTCCTCAGAATTGCTGCTGTCCTGAATCAGAGTTCAGCAGGACACTTTGTCTTGCCGCAGGTCTCCTCATGAGCTCAGCAGTCCACTGGAGCCACTTCGCCCCCTCCCAGAGAAATGCCACGTGTGTAGCACACTGTGATATATACCTTGGGGGAAATGGCATGTAGAAAAGCAGTGATATAAAGGCAGACATAGTGTGAGGAGGAAAATATGAGGTGAATGTCATGAGACACATCTCTGGCTCAGGCATTGCACTGCTATTAAACATGTACTTTGCCTCCTTCCCCAATAGTCTTTGATAACACTTTGCAAATTGCCTTGGTGTTGGTTTTAACCTTTCAAGTCTTCAAAAGCCTGCAGCTAGTTTGTCAGAAGGAGTACTTGCAATGGCTGGACTCTAGTGGAAGACGGGTGAGGAGGTTTCTAAGATTTAATAGGTAGATTATTGAAGTTCATGCTTTCGCATGAAACAAGAACCACCATAGGATTCTGATTTCACCCTTACCCATTTTTGCTTACTGTTCTGGAGACCAGGAAGTCAAGCAGTATGACAACTGGCTATCATGATCTCCATTTTGATAGCAACTGACAGACCCTTGAAAGTGCCTGCATATTGGAGGGGCTGTCAGTGTTTGGCAAACATTTTATTTTTATTTTGTACACAATGTGCACATATTTTATTTTTTTATGTGTGTACTTGCAAAACCGTGCAGGAATGCAGTTCTTCAAGCGTGGAAACCTGCATCCTGAGTTGGGCTCTGCTGCCAGAGGAGTCGGGGGACCTGCTGTCAGAGTACAGGAGGTGCCAACTTCAAAGAGACTCCAAAGAGTATTTTTTTCCCTTTGCTTTCTCTTGTCATAAGGCAAGCTGTCAATGGAAAAAGGAGTCCAAGGGATCTTAGTTCGTAAAAATGGGTTGTTATCATTTATGCACCCTTTGTGGCAAGATCATCTTTTTAAATTTATTTATTTATTATTGTTTATTTTCCCTGGACAGAAAATGTGGAGATGCACATTTTGCACCTTTTCCCCAAGACTCTAGCTGTTTGAGAAGGTGCAAAAGTACAACCTTTCTCCTTTTCTAGGGAAGGCGTTTAGACTGCTAGCTTCATATAGCCAAATGTCTCAGTCAGACACCACCCTGCCAATAAATCACTTTTAAAGAGAGAAGGGTGGGGTGCATTTCTTAATTGCTTTTGTAGTATTATATTTTGTTGTTGCATGATTCAATTGGCTTTATTATATGAGGCATTCTTTTTATATCTTCCGTCCTGATTTTATCCTGTTATTCTTATTTTCCATATTATTATTGTTTTATGCTTTTCACTTACCTGTACATTACCCAGAGAACTTAGCTTATTTAGCACTGCAGTCTAAAATTTTAATATAGCAATAAAGCTGAGTAAGTGTCCCCCCTTTGCTCAGCCTTTTATCTAAATCAAAGACTCTTAAATGTTGTTCCCTGTCTTCATAGGGACCTGTGCCAGGCTCTTAACCATTTTGGTTGCCCTTTTCTGCACTTTTTCCAGCTCTATGATATAATTTTTGTGGATTTTATAATTTTGACCAGAACTATACATGGTATTTCAAGTGCTGTTTCACCATGGTAATTATTCCATGTTCCTTTCTTAATGATCCCTAACATAGAATATGCCTTTCTCACAGTCTGGGAAAAATGTTTGCTGCCCATTTTGGTTTTAATTACCTTAAGTAATCCAGGACACTGGTCCACTTCACTGTTCAAGTTTAACACTAGGCTGCTTATGAAGAAATTAAAAAGCATCAGCCTCAGTGCATTTTCTTGAGGAACATCACAGTACAAATACCCCAATTGTGAAAACTGCCCATTAATTCCCATTCCTGGTTTTTTTTTTTTTTTTTTAAGAAACCAAATGTCTTCTCCAGACCTGTGTAAAATACAGAAACATTCACAGATACAACCATTGAATGGTCCCTTGAACTTTAATTGTAGCATATCTTAGCAAAGATGACCCAGTGAGGCACATACATATACTAGTGCCTTCAAAAATAGGGAATTTGTTAAAGAAAGAAGAATACAATGATACTTAATGACTATTCTTAGGAATTAGCTGTTTGACAAAAGGCATTTAACTGAATACTCGAATGAACTCAGTTACAAATAAACCTACATATATCAGGTAAATGAAATTAAAGGCAAAATGAACATTGTAGGCATCCATTTCCTGCAAGATTAGTTCAAAGTCCCACTTAGTAGCTATACTGCAGGCTGTGGTGGTTGAAGTGCCAGGCCGTTGACCCCTATAGTGTATCTAAGACAAACTGGGTTAGATTATGCTTCTTTGGGAGTTGCAGAGGGTGACACTAAACCATTTGGGACCTTATGCTTGGGTTTGTGAAGGTTTCAATAATGACTGCAGTAGGACAAAGGCTCTGAGTCCAATGAAGAAAATAAAAGCGAAAAGAAGACTCTTGCTTATTGGTTTTAGACAGTTGACAAAAGATCAAGATGATTTGTGCATGGGTCTCAAAAGTGCTAACTTAAGAGGAGTGAAAACTAATCAAAACAGGAGTGCTTGGATTGTAGTCCTTTAGGTTAATAAATCCATCTGTCTACTGTAGTTACCAATAATTATACCACACCTGGGAGAAAATTGGTCTGAACTTGGGATTTATGCACATCTAAGTTTCTGATTGCTGTAGGTGATCTGATTATGAAGCACTTGATCTAGTGCTGCTTGATTAAGGAGTGTTGCTAAATCTGGACCTGAGTGTTGATGCCCTCCTGGTAAGATCCTAAATGACCTGCCGTTCAGCGGATCTTGTAAATTCTCCACACCTTGACTTCCTCCATGGTAGGGTTGATTATGCACACTTGGGTGACTTCTTAAATTATATTCCTGTGACATGGATGCTAACAGGGGAACAGCAATTGCAAATGCAAAGAGTCAGGCTATAAGCCTTGGAAAATAAACGTCTCTATCATCCAAAGGTCTGCAGATGTTACCACATTTAAACTGTTGTCAGCAGTTCCATCTGGATGCTTATTTTTATATATAGACTGCTTATAGTAAATTGTGTGTGTGTATAAAAGATAAATGCTCTCTCTGTACTTTTAATTAGTGGCAATGTGAACAATTAATGTAAAGCAATACTTTTTCTGGTTATGTTTTTGTTGTTTTCCCTCTTTATTTTTTTGTATCTCTTGAAAAGAACAACAATTCCAGGAACATTGTTCTTGGATTAGTGCCATGCATTCTACTTGGGGCCATCTTTGAAAGTCATCCAGAAACTTCAGCAGGATCAAACTAGTGCAGTGGGATTGCTAACAGTGACTGGACAGTACAATCATATGATGCTAGTGCTTTGTGTTCAACACTTGCTTCCAGTCTGTTTCCAGGCCTAATTCAGAGTGCTGCTATTAACTCAGAAGCTCTAGGTGGCTTGGTCTCCTGCCATATTTAGCAGCTCAGACACTTAAGATACTCTCCAGGGCCCCTCCTCTGGTTGTACCCACCAAAGGATCTGAGGCAGGTGGATGCTAAAGAGACATGCTTTTCAGTGGTGGTGCTCTGGTTATTGATCACCATCCCAAGGGAAGCTTGCTTCACATTATGTTTCTTCAGAGGCAAGTGAAGGCCATTTTATTCTTGTATTTTTAATCCCTCACTGTTTACAAATTGTGCTATGCTTTTTATATTTAGTGATGCAGTTGATTTTACTTCTTTCTTATGCAACTGTGTTTATGTTTGTAAATTTTTGTACTCTCATATTATACAGTTTTGTTGTCTTCTGAACCACCCATCTTTATATAGACAGGTAAAAAATAAATAACATTAATTTATTTTTATGTAATAATGATCCTAAGAGGTTGCAGAGATGTTTCTTCATTTCCTTAATTACCTTTCAGTTCCTTTTATAGTATCTGCAAAAGTATAGTACATTCACGTGCATTTTGGAAAGACAATGTTTCTGTGCACAAATGGATGGTTGCTAGGCTAGGTTAATGCAGGATTTCTCGGGTACACAATGCAGTGGCGTGGCAGATGTTTCATGATGACGCATTTCTGATGGGGCTCTTCATGTTTATTTCCCCAGCTGAAAGAGGGAGGATAGGGAGCCTTCCTTCTCAGGGAACTAATTGCCATGCGCTGTTTTCTGAGGCGTTCACTTACAATGGCCATCTCCCTGCTCGTGTTCCTGCTCATCATAAACCTGACTCCTTGGACCCAAGAAGATTCTGATGTGGTGAGTATAGCATAGCTCATTGTTCTGGCTGTAAAAAGGGAAAGTGGAGAAATGGCAGACCCTGCAACATCCCTATCTTTGATCACTTGTCCCATTAGAAGTTCCACACACGCTTGAGATGGTTTCCCCAAAAATCTCTTCAAGAAAAAGGCATTTCCAGGGAGCTACTTTAATGTAAGGATTTAGCTATCACCTTTGGGAATCCAGGCTATAATCCTTCAGTTTCAGCTATTCCCTCCATAGGTTTCAGGGAAGCAGAAGAGATGGACCAAACCATTTTGATGACTGAGGCAGAATGACCAAAAGGAAGTTCAATATTGTCCATTTCTCCAGTGAACGAGGATGTGTCCCTGCCTGCCTGCCCATCCGCCTACCCTCCGTCATCACCATACCTCCAAGACAGTGAAACCTAGGCACCTGGAAATTGGCATGCATACTAGAAGACACAGGGGGTGTGCTATACACTGTAATTCAATTTCAGTGAAAAAGTGGACAGACCCTGTCCTTAAAGGGTTATAGGGGTGTACCTGGCAGGAGTCATACCTAGGGCTGTAAGAAGTTGTGGTGCTCCCTAGACTGGGTGAACACAGTGTGTCCCATTCTCTGATGGAGCCAAAAGTTTCCTTATGGTCTTCGCTGTATCAATGGAATGACTATTCCCTGGTACAAATACAGGTCTGTTCACTAGTAAAGTTACAAGTGAAACCATTGACCATGTGCTGCCCCTTAATGATAGCCAAAAACCTGTTGTCTGAGGTAAGGATAGCACTGTTTGATGTCCTACTTCTTTCTTGAGGAACAAGTCTTATGTCCACCATCCATAGGGCTGGACAGATCAATTATTGTAGGTCCTGTCAATTTTTCATGAGTTTGGGCATGATTCTGTGCCATCCTACGCCTGCATCGGTGTGCAACACTGTCCTAAAAACAGTATAAAAATGCATATTATTTTGGACATACTTGATCTAAAATACTGGATTTTATATAGATTGTGGAGAAATGCATCACAAAGTCTGGAGGGGTGAAAATTGAAGGAGAATGTTACAATCTGCATATTAATCCACGGAGTGCAACCCAGGTTTGTGTGCTTACAAGTGCAAACTCAACAAAATCCTCAAGCACCCTGACCTCCCACTCCTCCGTGGTAGGAGAAACTGTTCAGAATCAAGCAGTGAGGAAACAGCAGACATCATGTCACTGTAAAGCTGGGCTTCTGGTTGCTCATTAGAATCCTAGCAAGTGGGACATGTTAGAAAAAAAGTTAGAACAAGATGTAGTGAATCCTGAACCCCCTTTTTGTTCATTTAGTTGGGACACGAACATTATAGAAACTGCTAATCAGGGCAATATAATAAGTGGGATTATTTAAATGGGGGGAAAGGGAAATTGTCACCTATTGTCTGTTCCCTTTTCTTGAGGCTTTTCTTTGCTGTTCTTTATTGTTCTGAAGAACTTAGTTTTGGAGATGACTGCCAACCCCTAAATCTGATGTTTTGTTGCTAATAGAAGTGCATCACATTTACAGGAGATCTAGTTGCTCCCTTGGTCATGAAGCTCACTAGTGACTTTGAGTCTGTCACAGACTCTCAGCTTAGCCTCCTCACAAGATTGTTGTGAGGATGAAAAAGAGAAGAGGACTATGTAAGCCACTTTGCAGGAAAGAAGATAGGATATAAATATTAAAAATAGCAAAACAATAGTGGTGGGGAAGACAGCTCTGGAGACTAGGAATGAGAACCTTTCCCATTTCTGCTTTCTTAAAGAACCTTGAGTAGTGGAGGAAGAGAGATCTCCCAGCTCCAGGATTCTTTCCAAGCTGCTAATGGCTTGAGCAGGTCATTCCCTTTGCCCTCCGTTTTCCTCGCCTCTTTGTTAATAGTCTGTGTGTCACAAGAGTGTAACTGTAGACAGAAATGATGGATTCACCTAATCTGTGCAATGCGCGATTCATTTCCTCTAACCTAATTTCTTTTGTTCCCTGCTGCACCCCAGCCTCTTTTCAAAAGCCCTCCCTGAGTAGTCATTCTAATCTATGCCTGCATGGATCTGTGCACCCCTTAGCAGGCCACTGGGCAGGGAGAAAGGGAGCAGAGAAGGGGGGAATCAGGAAAAAGGAGAGTAGAAGAGGTAGCCTCACCCCCTGCCATGACAGCTCACCCATAAGTAAAGGTAGAACAGAGCAAACAATAGACAAAACAAAGATTCTCCATCACCCTGTTTTCCCATCTACTCCTTAAACAAAAGTAGAAGCTGTCTGTTGAAAATAGAAGAATTCAGGATTTTGATGCAGCTGTGACTGAGCAGTATGTGCGCATGTTCATGCATGTGTGAACAAAAGATAATTGCAAAGAGAAGAGTTCCCTTGAAGTTCAGTGTGAATCAAAGATTTTCCTCTCCAGGGTATCTGAGGAGTTACTCCATACTTTTCTTATCGATCTGCCCTTAAAATTCTGGAAACTCAGAAGACAGTTCAAGCTGTGGCAGTTTTGTGTTTGTTTGAAATTTCTTTTAATTTATAACAATATCCTTCAGCAGATGTCAGGAACCCCATGGGTAGGTGGAAAACATTTTGGATGTGTTTGGCTTTGGGTGTGCTTGTTTCATTTTGAGACAGAGAAATCTTTAGCTGAGCTCATTCCTTATTTAAAAGGCCAGTGGTGATGAGCACATGAGTTAAGGGCCTCTCCTTGCACAGACTCATTGCCTTGAGTTACAGAGCCTACCATGTTGAGCTACTGATGTTCTGGAGAAAATAGTGAACATTTCTAAGTGCTTCTACCTTGCTTCTTTACAGAAAGAGCTAAAGCAATGGGCTCAGGATGTGGGGCTAAACCAGCTTCATGCAGACAGGAACTGGCAAAACCTTCAAAGGTTAGGCAATGACACCAACTTCCTGAATGTCTCTTATCGCTATCTTGCTGGTGTTCCCCCACACAAGAAAAGTGAGTACCACATACCATCAAACAGGCTGATTAAGTACAGTCACAGATTGGCAGAGGAGACACTCAAAGAATTTTCAGTTCAAGTTGCTGTAAAAGAATGTATAGAACAACTCGTGTAACCACAGAAACAACTGGAAGTCAGTTGCAGAGCAGAATGACTCACTGCTAAGATCTCATTATTTTCTGAACACATGGAGTCATGTTCTACTGTTAATACATGCTGTAGTCTGTGTATGATGTAATAGAAACTTTTGTGGCTGTTTCTTTCTACATTTGCAGTGATAGTGGTAGGTAGGGATGTGCTGATCAGCAAAATCTGAGTTTGCTGAAGTTCTCGGAATTCCATCTTGAAGCTCACATCTGTATCAGACTGAGTTTTTTTTCTTGTCCTGTTAAAATCTGTATTTTTGTGCATGTTTCCCAGCCATTAACAACAATTGTGCATATCTTTGAAATGTAAGCATCCTTTGCCTATTAATTAAAGTGTGTTAGTATGCATTTTTATAAGTTCACTTTCATGAACATTTTCCAAATGTACACATAATGTCAAGCACATTTATTTTGGTTTGTAAATTACAATGTAAATGTATAAATATTCAGACTTTTATTGTAGAGTGCATATAAGTCTGTGTATAGTCCAAAAATTGCAAACTGGCTGAATCCTGATAAAAAATGAACAGAAAATGTTTTCTCATACACCTCTACAATTAGGTATGGATGTGTCACATGAAAAACTCATTCCATTTGAGTTCAATGGATTTTTAACCCAACAGCTGAATTCTTTTTCAGCTCCTACAAAATTATGCAAATTATTTGCACAAATTTGGAGCTGAGAACAGTGTTTCTCTAGCACAGTTTGTGCAAATTGTATATTTGTTGTAAGCCATCCTGAGACATCAAAGTGGTAGACAGGATAGCTTATTTATAAATAAATAAATGAATGAATGAATGAATGAATGTGTAAATTGCACAAATCAAGGTTGAGGCATTTAAGCAAAGGCTGATTCATTAGATTTGAGTTACTGTACTTTTCCTTGTAGATTCAATATGAAAAGTTTGGAAACATCCACCTCTCACTGCATGTGCTCATATTCTGCCTTGAATTTTCTGACCGTTAATTCTAGATTTGTGCAAAAGCTGAGCATTTGTGAAATATACAGAATTTGCACAAATGTCTGCAAATTGCAAAGTGGAGGCTTCATTTTTATACAGATTTTTCCAGCTATAAACACTATACAGACTGGTCCATTTCTAAAAACAAGTCTCTGTGTCGGCTCAACCTGTATCAGATTGAGTTAGCACTAGTACAGGGTTGTCAGAATGGAAACCATGTGGGCAAGTCAAGCAAACCCATTGAATCTTCACCCCCTCTCAGGTTCCTCACACTTGCTAGGGCTCTTCTGTCCATTGTTGGGCTCACAGTGCCACCTGGCTGGGCACATGCAGCATAGGACTCTGGCTCCCAGGACTCTGTCCACTGTGCAACAGCTCAGAATCCAAGTTCCTGGTGAGCACTCCCAGTGTCTGCAGGACCCTTACCAGGGATCCAATCCACACGTTGCACATGCAGTGCCCCCTTTCTGCCCCTGGTGCTGCCACCAACAGTTGCCCTGAGCACAGAAGACAGCTGGTCTCTGGAGCGCTGGGAATGGCACCTGGGGTGACCACAGGCAGCACACCCCTTTTGTGCCTGGCACTATACTGGGCAGGGAAGAAGGTTCGCAGTGTCCTCCTCTGCACCCAGCATTGCCGTTCCTGGCTGCACTGGATATGGACGAAGGTTGGTCACTGGTGTCACTGGGAATGGTGCCTGATGTAACCACTAGCAGTGCTCCTCTTCCACATCCTGCAGCTATTTTTGGGTGGCTGCATTTGACAGGAAAGGTTGCTAGTTGCGCAACTAGGAACCTGCAGGCATTCCCAGATTTTCCCTTGGCTTGGCTCACTTTGCAGGACCAGGGTGAGCGGCAGAGGAGGTCTGCAGCTGATGGATGGAGGGATTCCAAAAGGGTTTGTCCCAGTCCTACATATGACCCCCATGTTTTTCCTTCTGTATTGTAATTCCTAACAAGGAAGGAATAGGACTTCTGCTGTTATTCTTCTATCCAGAAGATGTGCCTGATGCTGTAATGTAGTGGCAATTTTGAAGCGCAGGCACTCGTGATAGTCCTCCCAGTCACACCCAAGAGGACTCCAAAATACAGGCAGCTTGCAAATTGAGATACAATCACAGGATCTAAAACCAGTTAGTGGGGGGCCACTGGTCCAAATAGAAATAATTATCAGCCAGTCAGATATAAATATGAAAGGTATGGTAGCGCAGGATTCTCAGACTTATAATTGCTGAATTGTATCTTACAACAATAGCCCAAAGGAATCATGGGAGTGAGCCCAGAGCATTAACGTGTGCAGATACCACCCCCAAAGGAGTACACTGACTTATTACCGCATGTATTAGAATCAGGTGACAGTCAAAGAGTTCTAGAGTTTAAAGGACTTCAGGCCAGAAAAAAGGCATTCCTGACATGTGGCTATCCAGTCTTTGCTTGTATACTCCATGCAACAGAGAGCGTATTACCTAGATTGTGGGCCTCATGTGGACCAGAAGGCAAGACCTGTCATGGACAAGCACATACCTGAGGCATTATCATTGGTGTCATCAGACAGAGGCAAAAGCCTCCAAGCCCAACCACCTCCTTATCCCTCTCCATGGGAGTGGAGAACAATCATTTTGCCTCTTTGTTGAGAGTAAGAGGGATGGCAGGCTTGCAAACATTCCCATGGGATACCAGCTGCATCACAGGTGCTGATTCAGAAGATGAGGAATGTATCAGTGAGCTTGGGGAGCATGGGCTAGCTCAAGGTCCTGGAACGCAACAGGAGGAGGTGGAGGTGGAGATACTTAGCTCAGGGACAGATACTTTGTCACACCAGACAGCTCTGGGAATGACACAGACATACAGCCAGTGGGAGAGGCTGCTGGGAACTCCCAGACATGGACCCAACCTCTCTCTCTCAGCTGAACACCATGACAAGGCTCCAGCAGCGGTGAGAGGCCCAATTAGATGAGCAGTGAGCAGAAAGAAGGCATCCGCGCTTTCAGAGAGCCCTTGCCGTGGGGTTGGGGCACAGGTACATTCATAAGGAGAGTTCATGGAAGTAATCACTAGACTGGGTTCAGTAAAGTGCTCTGTGCCTGCTCAGTGATTCAGTCTGGTTGACTTGTACTGAAAGCAGTAAAGAAACGTTCTCAAGAAAATGGACCGTGGCTGGTGTTTGTTCAAAGGAGGAGCCTCAGCTCATGACACTCTTAGCCCCTGCCTATCCTTGGACTGGACTTCTTCATGCTGGTGGGAGAGGGCACCAGCTTAGGAAAGCTGAGTTGGTCCATTATTCTGTTCACTGCAGCAACCACCCAGAGGATGCTGGGAAGCAGGCATGAAGGCTGTAGCCGTCCCCTACCGTTTGCACTTGTCCTCCTTAGCATAATGGGCATGGATAGTCCATTAAGTTGCCATGTGTAAAAGCCACCAATAAACCTGTCCTCTTTGGATATGTTCGCCCTTTTACATTCTCTTAAGCATGTTCTTGTTACATCTTGTCACAGCAAATGCCTTCAGGTAGTTACACAGTGTGAAGAAGTAGTCTAATCTGCCACACTTCATCATGCTAGAGGCACTGAATTCTTGTTAGGTTGCAAGGTACTGCTTTTGGCATTGATGAGAGAGAAATACTGCTATCGTAGTCACTGCTATTATGTTTCATATCTATGAGATTTATCCCTTTGTTCTTTATTGCAGAGTTTCTGACAGTCGGGTTGTGTTCTGTTAAGCGGAAGTGGAGCAACTATCTCCTGGAAACACTGAGTTCTGTCTTTGAACAATCAACACAAGAAGAACTGCAGGAAATGATTGTGGTGGTGCACTTAGCTGATCCAGACCAGGAATGGAACTCTCAGATGGTGGAGAAAGTTGCCAAGCGTTTTGCTGCTCAGCTCCTCATGGGCCGCCTGCTAGTTATCCATGCCCCTTCTGAGTATTACCCTCCCCTGGCAGGACTAAAAAGGAACTTTAATGATGCTGAAGACCGTGTGCGCTTCAGGTCAAAGCAGAATGTGGATTATGCCTACCTCATGAACTTTGCTGCCAATCTTTCCACCTACTACCTCATGATTGAAGATGACGTTCGCTGTTCCAAGTCCTTCCTTACAACCATCCGGAAGAGGCTGGCATCCCAGGGGGACTCTTACTGGGTCACCCTGGAGTTCTCCAAGCTTGGCTACATTGGCAAGCTTTACCACTCCAGCGATTTGCCCCAGCTCGCTCGGTTCCTCATGCTCTTTTACCAGGAGATGCCGTGCGACTGGCTTTTTGTGCACTTTCGCCTTCTGCTTACACAGAAAGAAGTTATTCGTTTCAAGCCATCCCTCTTCCAGCACATTGGCTACTACTCTTCCTTTCAGGGCACAGCAAACAAGTTGAAAGATGAAGACTTTGAAGAGGACCTTTCTACCCTCCCTGACAATCCCCCTGCGGATATGGTTACTGACATTGCGACTTTTGGGAATTACCTACCATATAAGGCCTACAGTAACATGGCGAATTTCTTTTGGGGCAAGGCCCCATCTGCTGGCAATTCATTCACCATCGTGTTTAAGCAGGCTACCCCCATCTTCCGCATCCAGATCCATACAGGCTGCAGGCAGCATCCAGAGGACTATCTCCAGGCTGGACTTGTGGAGCTGGGCACTCGAAAGAACCGGTGTGATCTGCATTGTGCCAGCTACACCCCCATTGGACTCTTTAAGCATGGACAGTTTGACAGAGAGGGCCTGGAGAGCAGCACAGCCTCTGCCCCTGAGTGTGTCCGCATTGTAGTGACTAAAAATCAGAGTGAATGGCTGGTCATAAGCAGCATAAGCATCTGGACAAAGTCTGGGCCTTGAAGGATCAGGTTCTCTCATAGTGTGGAAATGCTGCTGCTTGGTATCATTCCCTCTTTGTACAAGAATCCCATGGGGAGAGGAAGAAGTGGATTTTGCATTGTTCATCATCATATGAGAGGCTATAAAATTCACATCTTAGATGCTTTTGATCTAGATATCATCCCAGAGTATCAGTTACTCTCAAAGTAATTTCTCATAATTTGGCCACTTGCATTGTCTTCACCTGCACCTATCAATGAAGGGCCTCTGCTTGAAAACCCTCTTTTTTAGGCTGGGCTATCTTGTGCCCTTCTTGCGTCCAGTACGCTCGGCTGAATGTACAGTTTTTGCAAATGGGTGGAGAAACAATAGTAGGTCTTGAAACAGTAGCAAACCTAGTTCATAATCTCAGAAATCTCCCATATTTACTTCCATGATTTGTATCCTGGCTATCTGCAAAAAAAATGTCAATGAAAGTAGCTTATGGGCACCATTAACATTAAGGAAAGCAGAGTGGAGGCAAACCCAGCCTCCCTTGAGAGGGAGTTCCAAAGCTTGGGAGTAGCCATCCAAAGCATGAATTTATTAGAGAGAGAAAGAGAGAGAGTTGGTACCAACATACTGGAGACACCAAACTCCAAGACTTCAGACAATCTCTCCCAGTAGTTCCATGTATAGATTAAGTAGAGCGGGAGATAAAAGGAAATGCTGAGGGACACTGCAGGCCAGTAGCCACAGCATTGAACAGGCATTCCTGAGCACCACCTTCTGGGACCACTTGTTTAAGAAGAATAGGAATCCCCATGTAACAGTACCTCCCAGCCCTACCTCAGATAAATGCCTCAGAAGGAAACCATGGCGAACGATAGGGAAGGCTGCTGGAAGGTCCAGCAGAACTAACAGGGATATGTTCCCATTGTTCAGCTACCAGCGTGGTTCATCAATCAAGACCACTAAATCCTGTGTCCCAGAACCAGGCCAGAAACCAAATTCATATGGATCTAGATATGCATTTGTACATCATGCTAACCTGGTAATAAGCCACGATGGGTTGGTTGTTCTGCAAACAATCATCCGTGCACCCAGCAGATGATCACATTTACCATGAGTTGTTGACCTGCTCACATTTCCTTCCTCATTGGTCCTTCCACAGATATACCAGGAAGCACTGGCAAGACCTACTTCTCACCATGACTGCAAGCTGTGTTTGGCTCACCAGTGCTCTTTATTGCATTACCCACTACCTCCATTGCTAAATCCAGCTTGACAGCCAGTTCTTGACTTTTCTGTTTTGACAGCCACTGACCATCCTTTTAAAGTGCCCAGGTGGCCCTTTGGAGGGGCCATCAATGGTGGCCAACTTGTACAAAAATATTTATTTTTTAAAAATCATAGTGTGCAAAATTCTTGTCTTTTTTAAATTACACAACAGCACATGAGTGTGAAGATCAGGAGCCCCAGTTGGGGCATGCCACAAGTGTACCTGCTCTCAAAGTGTAGCAGGTATTGATTCTGGACATTGGCCCAAAGGGAGTATCTTGACAGTGTAAAACAAAGAGGATAAAAAAGAGAGGGGGGAAAGCTTATGTATGTCTCTTTCAATTTCTTAGAGGTAAGGAAAATAAAATGTAATTACAGTAAACAAATAATAAAAGGCAAACAGTCAAGCAAAGATGCAAGGATCTTTGCTCACAAAAAGGGGTGGTAAGATTTATACGCCCTTCACAATGAATGCCTCCTCCCTTTGCCCCTTATCAGTGTGTTGAACAGTTCACATTCTCCTAAGATCCCTCCTTTTCTGGGAAAAAGGAAGTTTGACTGGTAGCTGCCCAGATTTGCAGTTTGTCAGTACACTGGGTGGATTTTGATAGGAAAACATGGCAGTGTGCTTCATCCAGAAATCTCAAGTTGGGAAGCCACCACATGCTCCAGACCTTGTCCATGAATAGAATGTGAGGGATTGGCTGGAAATTATTCAGTTCAGTGGGGTTCAGAGGAGGATGGAGGATTTCTTTTTTATGAAACAGCTTTGCACTGTCTCTCTTAGGCAAGGCAGAATCACATCTTGTTGTGAAGACGCAGTTACTGTTGTCAGCAATGGCATACCAGTAGGCCTTTGGACTTTTGCTGTCGATATGAGAGATGAGCAATCACTTTGCAGCCCCGCAGCTGGATTATCTATGGAGCAGAGTCCATCAATTCCCTAACTCCTAGTCACCTATACCTTTAAAATTCAGGACAGTAACCCTACAAGTGACAATATACATTTTTTTACAAAAGCTTCATCTTTAGAGCCTTTTTCCCTACTATAGCCACTTTAGTATTGTATTGAATACTAAATGATTCAAATGTTTTACTTCTAGATATGCATTTTAACCAAGAATATGACCAAGATACACACAAACAAATTTTATTTGATTGTAATTAAAACTAGCATAATATATAGACAACACTTGCACAGTCAAATGTGATCAGAGTAACTTCTGGTACTCTCAGGAGGTGATAGATGAGTTCCAGACGGGCAGCCTCCCCCAGCCTGGTGATTTTCACATATATGGAAATACAATTCTCATCATCCCTAGCTAGCCTAGCCTTAAGAAAATGTTCACCTGGAACTGATTCTCTTGGCCAACTTCAAAGCAAGGCCAGTATATCAATGTCCTTGGAGATGAGGAAGCTCATTTCCTTCTGCTGCAGCCTGTTCTTAGCACCAGACTCGGCCAGGCAAACCTGTTGTGGCCCACAGGTGTTTCTTTGTGGCCTTCCGCTCTCGGCTTTCTCGACTTCTTCAGAAGAGAATCTAGGCAAATGGAGAAGTTTCCTTTGCGCTTCTAATCTTTCCAGGAAGGGGGCTACTTCTCAAGAATAAGGCTTAGATTTACACCTTCATAATTCAGCAGTGTCTTACAAGTAATTTAAAAGACTGTTCAGGAATTGGATCTCTATTTGGATCTTTGTTCTGAATACTTACGTTAGTATACCTCTTTGCCTGTAATGCAGCTATGTTTTCTGTACTCAAAGCCATATTTAAAAGGAAAGATGGTTACGGTCAGCTAATCAGGCTTCTAGATTCAGCAGATTTCTGTTTCAGCCAGTTGTGTTGCCTTTTCATGACCTGGTTCACATGTGAAGTCAACCCATCTGTTTTTAAATCTATGCGTTGGTTGTTTTTATGTGTAGACGGGATCATTTTTACACTTGTCCCACCCATGATTTCCCATTCTTTAATTCAATGGCTTCTTTTTTTAGTGGGGCAACTAGATCTCATTTAAAAAAATTTTGTCTACACCTGAATAACTGCTTAACAACTGTTCATATTTGAAACTTCAGAGGAAACTTATTATTGGACAGGGATTGAAATGTCTTTCTATCCTACATTTCAAGCATCCCTTCCACAAATGGATGTGTCTTACATATTTAATCAACTGTTGCAGTGACTTTACTTTCTGAGGGAGATCAGATAGCAAAGACCCTTACTTCCTGGAAGAAGTTTCTTTCTTTTAGAAATTAACATGAAAGGCCTTCAAGAAAATGGGCACATTTACAGTAAAAAAACAAGAAAGCTTCAGCTGTGGAGCAGCATAAAAATGAAATTGTTGTTATTGTTAATAAATACAGGTCCTTCCACACCATCCTGGCAATAAGCCACGGTGGGCTAGTTGTACTTCAAACGCCGTGCAGTACACCCTTCCTCACCATTGTCCCTTCCTCCCCTCTCATTCATCATGGTGGGAAGCCATTTTTGGTTTGCCATTTGTGGGGAGGGGGGAACCAAAAATGTTTTGTTTTTTGCCTTTATGCCCTCCCTTTCCCCTAGGCTTGTGATTCCTGGCTTGACAGACAGCTTTCCTGATCTGCATTTTGTCAGCCGCTAGCAGCCACTTCAGAGTGCCCAAAGTGACACCCTGGAGGGGCTGTCCGTGGCTGGCACATGTTTTTGCTCGCTCGCTAGCCACAGGCTGTGCACGGGTATGTTCATTCTGATCGTATGCACTGTGTGTGAAGTGACAATAAAAGCCGCGTTTGAAGCAGCTGGGATATTTGCACCACATGAGAGCCCTCCATGAGTCAACCCATGGCAAGGCAGCAGTGCGTGCAGGACATGTGAGACAAACTGGGTATGCAGCCCCCACTTGTGTGTTTTTGTGTCATGAGAACCTAGCGAGTGTGGCTGATGCAAGAGTTTTAAAGCCTTCACATTGATTTAGCTCTCTTTTAGGGTATACAAGTGTTTTTCAACCCTTGCATAATCCACACTCATGGGGATTTCACAGCAAACAGTCCTGGGTGGTGGCTGCATGGCAGCCATGAGTGCTGTGGGTCATCGTGCTTTGAAGGACCAGCGCTGAGCCGTAGCGTGTCGTCTGAACCTGGTCAGTGTGTTAGTGGATCGACTGATTGAAAGGATCAGTGCAGATCTACTTGTCTCTATTAATGCTCTACCTCTTTATATTTGTAAGGGAACCAAGTATTAAAACAGTTCAGAAAGTCTCCAGGATCCTGTGTTCTAAAGGAAAACAACCTGAGTAATTTTGCTCCTGGAACTTACCACTGCTAGGAAACTGCATAAGGCAATTATTACTGAAGACAAAAATGTTTTTGTAATTGAGATAGATTATCTCTTCCCTTTCTCTGAAGAAATAAAAGACTTTTTAAACTTTTATTGCCAGTCCTTTGTATGTCTGTAACTTCCAAATAATCTAACTTCATCTGGCTGTTCCCACCTTCAAATTAAACACTGTTTAACCAGAGTGGGAAGCATGTTTGTTTCTCATACTTTAAACTTGAGAACAGGTGTATTATAGTTCCTAGGAAGATAAGCTGTGAGCCTGGTTCAAATTTCACTACAGAATTTATTTGATAGGGGAGTGACAATAATACTTCCCACCTCACAAAGTTGCTAATGGGACTAGTGAATTAAGGGTGATAGAGCATTTTATTATTATTATTGAGTGAGATAGTATTTTTATTGTGTTTTCCATTAATAAACCCCTTCTTGTTAAAGAATATTTTAAGCCAAAAAACATTTCTTTCAGCTTGACAAGCCAGACCCAAGATACTTGTTGCCTGAAGCAAAGGTTAAGAGTGTGTTCCCATCCCAGATCTTTGTTCTGAAGCCAGCCAGATTGGTAGTTGAATCTGTCAACACAGGCAATGGGACAGAGTCCTCCACCACACCTGAGAACAGCAGGCTAAGTTAGTGGGCTGGGGGAAGTTTCCGTGCAAACCCAGTTAAGCTCTGTTCTCTAACACGTCACTGGTGCTCACTTACCACTCTGCTCAGGACCTGCTCCCCCACCGCTCCAATGCTGCAATGCAGTGGTGGTGTTGCATGTGGCGCCTGCTGGGCCTTTTGGCTTGGATTCTGCAGGTTCAGTTACATGCCTTCCCTGGAGCCACTGTCTGCGCTGGGTTGGGCAAAGGCAACTAGGCCAGCCGCCCAGGCTAACGGCAAGCCTGTGTCCCTGACACCAGCTCAGGGGGAAGGGAATGGGCGGGAGGTCTCACCGGGAATGGCTGGAAGCAGGTTGCTTCTGCTGCTGCCTGCGCCCACAGCCCAGTTACTGCATCTGCCATCTAAGGCAGCCACCTCATTTTGCTGGTGGGTAAGCTGGCCCTGCTTGCTTGGCAGCGTGTAATTTCTGATTTCTATTTGAGAGACATCAACATTGTTAGCATTTCTAGCCAAAGGGAAAGGGTTGTCTATCCCCTGGTTTGGACCCAGGCTAAGATGCAGATGAACTTTGTTCCCATTGAAATCCGTGAGCCTGACTTAGGATTTGCTTATCGCTAACTTGCATGATTTATTTCGGTGGGAACTACATTAAACTTAGCCTGGATCCAACTTCTTGTATTGGTTCTGCTTTTGATTGATTAATCAGGCATTTCTGCCCTCCTGGTAATAAATACACGGTAAAGGAAAGGCAGCCATTCTGGATTAAGCACTTACATAGCCTTTGTTATTCTCTCAAGTGTTAATATTCCAAGAAGCAGCAGAGGCAGCATGCACAGAATGTGGCAAGTAGCTGAAACAAAAAGCAAGACAGGCATGTTAGACCAGCATCCACATCGTTCCCTGTTGGAAGCAGGTGGCTTGGTTTGCCTTCCCCACTCCAGCCTTGGGGGCTTTCCTTTAGGCTAGCTCATAGCAGCCATTTGGGAAACAGAAGCACAACATGCTAGATCCAGATATATACTGGATCAACTGCACTAACAGAAGTGGACTTCGCTGACCCTCCTTCTAAAGACAGTCCCTCCAGCTCACTGAAAGTACTTGGCAGAGTCAGGAGACCCTGCTAAATGGGATGAACTTTGTGCTGGAGGGCAGTGGGGGTGGCTTTCTCAAAATATCAGGCAGAGGGACCTTCAATGGGTAGAGCCTTTCTTCTTGCAGAAAGGAGATCTTGGATCCAACTCATTGCCTCTCTCAAGAAGAAGGATCTAGTTTACATGTGGTCATGAGATAAGCAAGGAGGAGTGAAAATCAGAATGGTTTAGAAAAGACTGTGCACTCAAATGCATATTTTACCATTTGAACATGGGTGCTGCTTCTTCCTGATTTCCTATGAAGTTGTTCCGATCATATATGTTGAATCCATGTGAGTGGAGCCAATGACATGCTGCGCACCCAGATCATTGTTCTAGTCACATGGATATGCCAATGGGATGTTGCTTCTGAGTGGCAGGGAAACCTGAGCAAACAACAAATTTCACCAAGAGCACAATGTATTTATTGTTAATGTCTATGCCATCATTAGGGAGCACTGCTCCAAGGTGACTTACAGGTAAAGAAAAACCACTATATCAAATACCTGTTTCTGGGCACATTAAACTGTGCTATGTGTTAGCCATGGTACACTATGAATGATGCACCTAGTCCCTGGAAGGCGGGATTAAGCTTCTTTCTTGTATTCACTCAAAAGTGCCTCACCTGAATGACTATTAATGTAAAACAAGCAGCCTCGATACTGACGACATACTTCTTAGCTACCTGGGCCACTGCGTCAAAACAGCCCTACAGTGAATTAAAACAAACCGTAATGAATATTTCTGCAAGGTAGTGTCAGCCCGTTCAGAGGATAATTTTTTGTGCTAAGTCATCCCCAGTGCTGTATGAGACCAATGGCTTTCAGAACGTCTTCCTTACAGTGCAGCTCCATTAAAAGAACATTACAGTTCTTCTAGCCATGCAAACAACATTGTAGAAAAAGATGTCCAAAAGTTTAGTAGTGATGTTAAGTGTTCACAACAGACAAGCACCATACAGAGATGAGTAGGACAATTTGTGGCAGGCTTGCAGATGTCTACATTGCAACAATTAAGGGACAGCACAACACAGATAGCCTATAAGAGAGACCTGCTTGAACAGCCTGCTAGCTATCTGAAAGCCATGCTGGGCACACCATGCACATGCGCACATGTGCTATAGCAACATTCTATTTCCCACACATGAGCAACCGGCGAAAAGTAATACTTTCACTGGAACTGGTTTTACAGAACCTTCTCCAACCCCTGAATCTGGTCTCAGCTTCAGATTTTTCATCATGACCCAATTGTTTATTCAGAAGAAAAGTAAAGCCCAGCTCAGGCAAAATGTTTGTCTTGGACTGGACGAGGTCTCCTGAGCTGCCTAGGATTTGGTACTTGTGACTGATAGATGAAATTCCAGTAGAGAATTGGGCATGTAAGCTGAAAAGGCACAGGCATGATCTTCTATAAAGCTCATGCACATGTGCACACACACAAATCCAATGGCATCTGAAGGCCAAGGGCACAATCCTAAGGCTGGCAGGTGCTGTCTGAGCAGCCATAGGAAAAGTCAGAGTCCCCACTGCAACCTCTGAAAGCCCTCTGTGGTCACAGAGGAGACTCTTTCTCCAGAGGGCCCTCCATCCACCTTGCAGCTGGCATGGTTCCTTCTGCTGCTGGTTGCAGCTGAGGGGCCTCCCAGGAGTCAGGAAGAGGAGGAGCAATGCAATACCATTCTATGAGGAATCCTTGCCATGCTTCAGCCCCTCCTTTTCATGAGCACAGGCAAACCATTTTGATGGCCACATTGTTCTGGAGGGTGAATAGAGTGAGGAGGCAATTCGAATCTCTGTGCTCCTCTCACATCTGATGGGATGCCCATAGACTCTGGATTTAAGAGGGGTATGGGCAGCCACTTATGCATGTTGAGACAGAAAGACTCCTAGAGCTCCCAGCATTCCCCAACCACTATCTGTTTCTGGATGAGAAATGCTGAGAGTTGTAGGGCAGTTTTCTGTCTAAACAAACATGGAATTACATTCATATTATATTATAGACTTTCAGGAACTGCAGACTACTTCATCAGATGCATAACCCCCTTCCCCCCCGCCCTCTCTCTCACACACACACACATTTGACAAAGTAGCCACCAGTCCCTGAAATCTTGTATTACTTCAAGTGCCACAGAAAGCAGGGAGAAATGGGAAATTGAAAATATTGAATTCTCTGAGGTTCCTTGACAAGCAGTCTTGTTCTGACAGTAAAGGGTCTCTTTGATTTCTGATTATTCTGCCAAGCAAGTGGAAACATTAAGGGTGTGCACAGGAAGGAGCTAGGCAAATACCCTCACCTTATTATTGAAATACTCTTTACGTCCATCTTTGCAGAGCATCAAGTTCTGAATAGGTGCACTCTCTCCAACACCTGCCCGAGTGCAGCAAGCTTCAGGCCATTTATCTTTTGGCTGGTTTTCCAGAAAATACAAGCTAGTTTTAAAATCATCAGGTCCTGAAACGCCACAACATTCAAACTAAGAGAAAATGAAAACATCCATTATTGCTCTTACCAATAGTACTACACTGCATAGCTATCCCACCTAGTTCTCAAGGCATTATTTAAACAAAGAAACTGATTTCTTTGTGGCCATTTTGGTATCTGGGTTTCTAAGAATCACTGCAACCATAAATTACAGTCTCTCTTTCAGTCTACAATGTCTGAGATTTATGTATTATTTGATAAACAAGTGAATGTATGCATTTCATGTTATTAAAATGGACATGATTCTGTAGTCTCAAGAGTGCAAGAGGAGAAGCAGGTGATTCTCATTAAAATGGCAATATTCACTGCTACTGTTATAAGAATTTTCAGAACTTCATTTTATTGTGAGTTCAATAGTGAAAGAAAACAGTATAAATGTTGCAATGCTGTGGCTTTTAACATTCTGAAATTGCATTAGAGCTATAAAGTGAATACAGCCTCTTTTTGGTGAACTATACCGTGATCATGAAGGTGTTCCAAGCTCTAGAAAATGCATCAGAGCCTAGGTCGCCTTGATAATTGTCCTTCATGAAACGCCAGATATAATCCTGCTGGACCTGAAGAGAAAATACTGCAGAATTATTCTGTCCAGCTAACAAGGGCAACACCCAGTGAAGTAGCAGAGCCAGGGCTCATAGGACTGATAATCTGCCATCTATCTATGTCCCTGTCCCCTCTGCACTCCACTAAAATCCTCTTTGTAGTGAGAATAAAATAGATTTCTCCAGCAATAATACACTGGGTTCACAAAACCTGAGCGGTCATCCCTCCCCTAATCTGTGCAGCAGGTAGTCTGGCCCATCATGAGCAGGGTGCCCCTCCTCTCGTCTCGGTCCTCCCACAGGTCACCCATGGGCTTCTGCAGGAAGACGGAGAGTCCCCGCTCCCCCACTGTCACAAGCCCTTCCAGACTTGCCATGGCTTGTTTTGTCCTCCTGCAAGAGGAGGGAAGCCTCTGTCAATTATCTCCAAATTCTCTTTGGGCACCTGGGGGAATCCAGCACCAGTGCTCACCAAGTAGTCACTTGGCAAGAGCTGCAAGAGAGTTTTGCTGCTTTTGCCCAGTTGCTTCAAGCAGTTTGGCTTGACACACAATGGATCACATATTTGGGCAACATGAAAACAGGGATCAAACAACCCCAGCTAAAAGCCGTAAGTTATCAAGGTAGTTTATAACCAAAACTTAAGTCACATGAACAATTCCATCATAGGTTCACATGGCACACTAACTCACGCTGTCTTATAAATTATGCTGAATCAATGGGCATTGAACACCCATTAATTTTACAAGAGGCCCATTCCTAATGGTTATAAAAATATTTCTCGTATTCTTCTTTGCTGTATGATGCTACTATTTTCAGGCCATGTACATAGGGCAAACCTCCACACTATGCTGTGCTCATAAGGGAATATTCTGATCCAGACTAGTCATACAATGGACATATTTGCCTGCAGCAGAAAACTTTCATATAACATGCATTTGCTGGTAGAAATTGAATAATTCTGATCCAAGACTGCCTGAGAAAATATTATAAAGTATGACGGGTACCCTAGAATGATTGGTTCATGCTCTCTCTCTCTCTCTCTCTCTCTCTCTCTCTCTCTCTCTCTCTCTCTCTGTAGCACCATATTTATGCAATTACTAGAGCTTACAAAAAGTCATTAATTTGCAGGATTTGTGTACCACCTAGTAACTCAATTTAATTAAACCATCCTCTTTATTTCCTTGACTGCAGCCACTAAATCATCCTTTAACCTGTTGACCTCCAGTGGTGTCAGATTATAATTCCTCCCGTTATCCTTAGTCAGCCTGACTACTGGGGATCATGGGAGTTGTAGTTAACACTTCTTGAAGGCACCAAGTGGGGGAACACTGCAGTAAATCTTGGCACACACAAGTGAAAAGGCAGTCCTGAGGGCTGGAAAAAATACCTATTTTGTGACTCACGATGCAACAAAGGAAGAAACAAAGAACTGGGGATTAATGGAGAGAACAGCTACATCTACTGCCCTCCCTCACCCCTACTGCTATATGCTAGGCTCAGCTGTTACCTTTCTCTTCCCCTTGAATTGAAGGAGTGAAATAACTGTAATCTCCACCATGAGCAGCATCAGCAAGGTCACGCAGAACTAGGGGAATGAAAAGAGCAGGTAGGACAAGCATGAAACCAGCCCCTCTAGTCTGCAATGCTAAAACTTACACAAGTGTTAACCCAACCAGTGACCCTCAAAGGTGGCCAGCAGCCTTTGATTGTAAAATGACTTGCCCCAGATTATTAATCCACACCTTCTGCAATAATTAGTACTGCACAAACCATAGTCATTGCATCTAGCACATGGCCCGGTTGTCCCCCTGTAATCATGATGCTCCCCCTGCCAGCAATCCCTCCCAATCCACTCTTAATAGTCACTTTTCATTCCCAAGATGCCCCACTCCACTTACATAACACAGCATCCATGGATTATCAGATATAGCTCCATAGCAGCCCACGTAACCCATGAATGCGAGCATCACTCCCAGAAAGACAACGATGTAAGACCCTGCTTGCAGGTACCGATTGGAGAGCAGTTTCTGAATCCCACTTGGGTCGACGATTTGCCAGATGCCCAAACAGAGAAGGCAGAGGCCCCCCAACTGAAACATAATGTACAGAGGAGGCAATTACCTAACATGTAGACTTAAGATCCCAAGTCTTAAAAATGACTGTTCTAGTTACTGTCCCCTCAGCCTAACAGGAGTCTCTCCTTTGAGAAGGAATTATGCATTTCCCACCAGGACAATGCTAGTTCTCCATCCAGATTCCACCTTCATATCGACAAGGACAGGCACTGCATAGGACACAGGAGTTGAAATTTCACTCCTTCTGCTTCTGGTCATCAATCCCCCTAAAGAAGAACTGCTACTCCTTAGATGTTTGGAGATCAGTGAAGTTCTTCACTGACAGGACTATGCTCCACAGGTAGCACAGCACCTTGGCCTCTCTAGCCAGCTGGTTAAGGGTATGCATTCCCTGATAAACACCTTGCATATCTTTCCAAGAGCAGGGCTGATCCTGGTATCAGGCTGTGTGAAGCAGTCATTCCGGGCAGCAGATGGTAAGGAGTGAGAAAGCCAGTGAGATGCTGGAAAACACAACCATGTGTGCTACCAGGGTCTGGCCTTCATGCCAGATGCTCTCAGCTGCAGTCAAAAGACATGAAACAATTGGCAATACTGGCAATATTGAAATAAGACAAAAGTGCCAATCCAGTCCAGTTGGCTTCTGTTTGTGGAAAGGGAAGCAGCTCCATCTTGTCTTTTGCCTCAGACAGCAGCATTTCATGAACCAACCATGCCTGAGAATAGCTGCATAGGTAAGGAGAATGGCAGCCTTGACCACCTGCTGGGAAATGCCCCCTCCTTGAGCAGATCTGCAGGACCACCAGCTGGGTATCAGTATACACCTGTTTGACATCCTTGATGAAATGAACATTCTTGCCTCCTCTGAGGGAACCTTTGGTGGTGGAGTTCTGTGTCCCAGCCTAGGATTCACTGCTTTACATTCCTGGCCAGTTGTGGGAAAGAAATTGAAATGCTCTCCTTACCAGTGAGTATCTGTTTTTTCTCAAGCAATGGAAGCCAGCTAGCTAGTCCTTTCCTTGGCACCAGCTTTTCTTATGGGTACCACTTTAATTTTATGGACCTCATCCAGTAAGTACAGTGTTTTCCCTGAAGCATTAACCTCTCCCGAGAGTGGCAGTTGCTTCCTCAGGAGATCACCCTTGCAGGTAAGACAGAATCCTCAGATTCTCTGTCATGGATGGAAGATTTAGGGTGGGGGGCCCAGAAAAACTTAGGAGTCTTCTGACCCTGGGCAGTAAAACATTTCTGAGCTATCTGGTAACCTTCACTTGAGAAGAAAAGGAATGAACCGGTAAGTACAGAACCCCTATTTTCCAAGGATTCACATCTGGTTTATTGCTAAAGTACCAGAATATGAATGCAAGAGTTCCTTTGTGGATGCCGTAAGACTGCAGTCAGCAGTAGATTAGCAAAGCTATTGCCCATGACTGCGTGGCATTGATGCTTTTCAGAACAACTCCAGAATGGATCAGGTCCTCCAGAACTTTCCTGGCAAGATGAAAGACAAAAGACTTTAAGCTGCAACATAGCTGATTCTAAGGCTATCTATGCTAAATAATATTTGCTGTTCCAACACAATACCTGAACTGTGACTGGGCAAATAGGCCCGGTGAAGATGTTTAACTGGGCTGCTGCGTCTATCTCTACTTCTCTGCCTCATGCCAGGATGGTATAGTGGGGCTTAGTGATTTCCAGACTGGCTGTGCCAAAACACAGGCATAGGCCATGCACACCTGGCATTTCCACACACTGCTGATCTTCCTACTGCCATCACTGCCTCTGTCTACCTGCTGTGATTTCAGTAAGGTGCTGTAGCACAGGCTGGGGATGCACCTGGTAAAGATGAATTCCCTCCTTGGTCCTGCCAATCTGACAGTAACGAGTAGCAAAGGTGCATGCATTGTCTTCTGCTTACTATGGCAAATTTCCTCCCCTTGGAAGTCTTATTGTGTGGTAAATTTCACTCAATACTGCCGGTCAGATCATCACAATAAACAGTTATGAGCGCTTGCTGATTTACCAATTTCAGATGACAGGAAAGAGATCTGAGGTTTCAGAAAATGAGGGAGACACTCTGCCTTGTTGAAACTTTGGGTTTAGGCATCCCTTGTCCATGCCAGCAAGGCATATTCTGAACAATTTTTTCCTTGTGCACAATGTTCTCAAATACTCACAAACACCACCCCATTGAGAAAAACCATCAGGCATCTTAGAACTTTTAGGATTCCCATCTTGAGGCTGACTTTAATTGGGTAGGCAGCTGCAGAAAGAACAAACGGTCCCTGAAGAGAAAGACAAGATATATCAGTCTGATGTCCTTTCTTAGCCCAGCATTGCTTAACGTTCTCTACTATATCCCTTCCTGGACCTGCTAGCAAGGCTTCACTAGTGGAAAGACCAATTTCTGCACTTTAGAAATGGAATGAAGCCTAGGTTTGGGACCAAATTCCTGATGGGATAAAACATAACTTTGCTTTCTTCCTGGGGCTTTTTATGAAGAGAAGACTTGGCCTGAGGGCCGCTTTAATCAGAAGCCAGTCACACCAACAACAACTGCAGAAGAGTGAAGTGCTTTTGTTCTCTTCTAGTAAGTTGGCCAGACTTCCCCAGCCTAGTGCCATCCAGGTTTCATCTGCATATGCATGAGGAATACTGGAAGTGAGAAGAGGTCCCTGCAAGCAACAGAGAAGTCAGACTTCAACTGACCAGCTCAAGACAGCAGCCTGCATGCCTAGCAACACACGAAAATCCACACATCTGCATTTTCCTCCTTCTTATTCTATAGCACATAATGGATTGAAAAGATTCTCTACTGGTAGTGACCTGCAATGGGTATGCAAGGTTTACATTCCTGCCCAAGACTAACATTGCGTATACTTGTAATAAAAGTCAATTGCGTCATTTGCATGATTCTGAAATCTTATGCAGGTGGGCCTCTGTACACACACACACACTCATGTCTTAATACTATGAAACATTCCAGGGACATTCAGGAAGCAACCATCTGAGAAGGATGGTTTAACCTGGGGTCCTGCACTGAGCAGGGGGTTGGACCCAGTGGCCCTCTGACTCCTTCAAACTATTCTGATTCCATGAGACCTATTTTGTATGTCACAATATTGTGTCTCAGTTTCTCATGGCAAACAATGTGAGCCATGGCAGGGAAACCAGAGGTATATGTTTGCACTGATTTGTTTATATTTTTGCATGCCATAAGAGCTGAGCTAGAAAGAACACAAACTCCTTTTCTTGATGCTACCTTTTGTTTTGTGCTGGTAACTTTTGCTAATGCCCGATCAAAGCCAGATTAGCTTTTTCTTTAATGATCACCAATCGCTTTTCCTCAAGTAAAAGGGTAAAGGGGATGTTCATAATGAAACAAAATATCCCCTTTTCAGATGAGTGTTCCACACAGTACTTATTATCTGTATGGCTACCAGCACTTTCTCCATATTTTTTATTAATTCATTTCTTTGCTTCACCACCCAATAGCCAAATTTCTATGTGAGACTTACAACTTCCCTAAATATCAATCACAGCTCAAGCGTCATTCACTGACTAAAAATCCTGGAAAGTGGCAGCAAACTCATTTCTCATAAAATGATAGGTTTGAATAATCCCTGTACATTTTGTCACTTACCTTGGCTTTTAAACAGGCCAAATAATGATGCTAATACCTAGAATATCTAGAAGCTGAGTATAGCTGTTCAAATGGGCAATATGGAAACCCTACTGGTGGATCCCCTACTATGATGAGTCCCAGGTTACCACCCCTTCCATCCCTTCCTTAATCTGGGCGTGCTGGCCTTCCATTTGAACTGGAGACTTGTGAAAAAGACAGCTTCCAAATTCTTAAAAATCAATTCTAGTGTCGAGTTTTGCCTTGCAGCCCAGGCTCTTATGCCTTGCTGCGCCCTTCCACCAGCTGCCAGATCAGTTTCTACCTTATGTTCTTCCACAATTTAATTGTTTAAGTATTTCCTCCGTTCTTGTCCCCAAACCAGCTACCCTTCCCAAGGTCCTTGTAATAGCTTGGCACCATGGAGTCCCAGCTTGATACAGTGAGACAGAGAGTGCCACAGAGAGTGCCACAGGTTTGTATCTTCAGGTAATTTACCTATTCACAGCTTGTATACTTGCCTAGACTTCCAATTCTTATTTTCCCTGATCTAATTTGTAATGCCAAAAGATAGGTAACAAGTGCAAGGTATGGTTCAATTGCGTAGGATGAAACAACTTTGCAAGGATAAATAACTTATCCTCAATATATGACAATATATCCCATCCAGGACAGTATTCTGACGCTTTGGTTCTCTACATCCCTCATATCCCACATGATACTGCTGCTCGGGTGCCATGTTGACATGATGGATCTGTATGTCATCCTGCCCGTTCCCCTGCTCCTCATTGCCCTTCTGCCCCTTAGAGTTCTAGGTTTCCTTTAAGCAAGCTCACCATGCACTCTGGAATCAGGGAACCTTGGGCAGAAAGAAATTCTTGCTGTTGTTCTCCATTCAACTGCACCGCTCACAGCCTTTAGGCCAAATTCTGCTGCCAGTCTCTGACTTCAGACCACAGGTGCCTCAATAAGCCCACTCTAAAGGATCCCTGAACCACTGCCTTCCCTTTGCCAGTTTACACCTTTCCTTGTGTTCCACAGTTTAACTGTCACCCTCCTTTCCCACAACATTCCAGGCCTTGACAACCGTTGCTTGGTGCCAAGTACACCAGCCCAGCCCCAGCCCACCCAGGGTAAATGTACCTGCATATGCCACAGAAATATCACAGAAGTCTCCTGTTACAGTGTACCTGAGCAACAAAACAGGCATGATGCACCTTAAAGACTAACACCTTTATTACAGCATTAGCTTTTATAGACATTATTGGAAGCACGAAGGATTATCCTGAAGTTATTCTCATTTGATGGGTGAGCTCTAATTTAAAAAGCATATGCCACAATAAATCTTGTTAATCTTTTAAGACTCAGGAGCTGGGGGAAACAAATCTGAAATAAAATATACCAAAGGGTCGTAGACTTACTGGATTTCACATTACAATGAAAATGGAGGTGCCTACTGTGAAGATCTGCCTGTTTACATAGCCCTAGCAATTTAAAAGAGCTTTATTTTGCCATTTGGTTGAGATCAACAATTCAGTCTTCGTTCTTTTGTATGTCTCATGTGAGCAATTAAATTATTATTCAAGTCTAGTCAATATCCTTTGAGGCAGATAATACTAAGAATGCAAAAAAGCACTGCATCCGATCAAGGGTCCACCTCGTCCAGCATTCCGTTAGCACAGTGGCCAAGCAACCACCTGTAGGAAGTCCACAAGTGGGGCACGAGTGCAACAGGCAACCACGCTTTTGCCCACATCCCCCGGCAACTGGTACACAGCTCCCAACGGCGGAAACAGCATGGAGCTATCTTGTAGAAGCCTCTGATAACCGTATCAATTTGACCAGGGGTCCTCCAACTTTTCCACCAGGGGGCCAGTTGAAAGACGCCGGTGCTGGCTGTGGGCCAGAAAGGTGGAGCCGACACGGTGGGGGGGGGTGCAGGCGCACGCGCTGAGGCGGGGGCGGCACGTGGTGAGCGGAGGCAAGGCGAGCCGCGGGTGGGCACGCGCTGTGAGGCGGGCGCACAAGGCAGCCGCTTGCTCGCTTGGAGATCGTTTTCTCTGAGTGAGCAAACCGCTGCCTCCACGCGCACGGGACGAGGTGGGTGGCAGCAGGCCGCGCACAGCAGGTCTAAATGAGCATGGCGGGCCGGATAAATGGGCATGGTGGGCCGGATCCAGCCCCGGGCCGTAGTTTGAGGACCCATGAATTTGACTAATCCAAGTCAGTGGCCATCACTGCAACTTGAGATAAAGCAAAGTCCTCCACAGAGATAAACTACGTTCTCTGTGATATACTTCCTTTTATCTGTCCTGAATTATATTAATTAATTCATTTCATTTTTATACTGCCCAATAGCCAAGGCTCTTGGAGCAGTTCACAAAAGATAAAATTGAACAAATGTTTAAAAAACACCACAAACATTAATTTGAAAGAATAAAGCCATAATAGCATTTGCAATTAAATCTTCCACTGTTCAGCTTTGTGGGAGGACCCTGGGTACCAGTATGAGGACAGAGGGAGAAGTGTCCCCCTATCCACTTCCTTTCTTCACGCCAAGGGTGCAGAAGCTCAAGGGATGGAGCAACCCTGCTCTCTGCTTTCCACAAAAGATCCCACTACCTTCAACTGAGCCCACCTCCTTTTCCCCAACGACCAGTCACTGCCTTCTCAGCTTTAGTGCAGGTTTTTTTTCCAATTCTATAAGGCAGAACTATTTATTCTAAGGCTTAAATACAAGATGCAAGAACTTTCAGCTAAAATATACAGGTATGTTAGAGTTTTTTGCCTCACCCCTTTTCCATTTGGTACCATCCATGGCTTGTATACAGCCTCTGGGATTCTCTAAAATGAAACCTGACTTTGGACAGAAAATGTTTCTGAACTCCTGCTCCTCCAAGTCATGCCTAATATTGTACGTACCTACCATGTATCTCCTCATTCACCTTTTTTCTAATGTGAATGACTAAGGAAAGTTGCTCCATTTTGGTTGTCCATTCCTGCGTATTTTCTAGCTCTATCCATTTTAAAGAACGGTGATCAAAATAGTACGTTTTCCAAGTGTGGCTGCACAATTGATTTGCATAAAGGTAGTATGGTATTAGCAGTTTTATTTTTGATTCCATTTCTACTTTTACCCAAAATGAACATTTCCTTTTTCTCAACAGCTACAGTAAGTTAGATCCCATCCATGAATATATAAAGTTGTGATTTTGAGCCCCAACATGCAGGCAGCAAAATTGTTCATGGAGGCTGGCTTACAAGAACATATTATACCAATATTGGTTGTCAGTTAAAGTCTGGGCCAGTTTCAAAGTACTAGTATTAACATTCAAAACCCTAAACGGCTTGAGGCCAAACAATCTGAAGGAACGCCTTGCTCCATATGTACCTACCTGGACCCTAACATCTTTCTCAGGGGCTTGTCTCCAGGAGCCTCCCCCAAAGGAAGTAAGACGGCTGTCTACCAAAAGGCCATTTTGTTTTTGGCACCTGTTATTCCACCTGTTATCCAAACAAGTTTGCCTAGTGCCTACTCTTTCTTCTTTTCAGCACGAGATGAAGATTTTTTTATTTTCCCAGTATTGTTTTGAAAGGTTTATTTTTCACATTGTATTTTATCTTGTGTCACTCTGTGCCAATTTGGTTAGAACTGTTTTATTGTCTTATGCCTTTTTGTTGTATGTTTTTAACTTTGTTAACTCCCAGAGCTCTGGCTAATAGGAGGTATAAAAACAAAACAAACAATTTATATTTGCTTACATTGAATTGCATGTACCATTTTAATGTCCATTCTTCCAGGATGGAAACATCATTTTGGTCTTCTCTAATCAGTTTTTGTTTAGGTGACCCTAAAACCTTTGGCAACATTAACAAACATGGCCATTTCACCCAATTCCAGATCATTTACAAATCAGTTAAAACACCAGTCCCAATAAAGGGGCTCCATTGTAGAACCCCACTCATGCATTTTGAGAATTCACATTTATTCCTACTCTATCTAGTTCCCAATCCTGAAAACTATGTTTCTTTTTCTTGCAACTGCAATGTTTGCTCAGGTGCCTTCTTCCTGAGGAACTAGCAGGTTTTTGAAAGTCCAACATTTATTGAAGCACTTCTGTCTACATGTTTATTATCAGTCTCAAACGATTTTAAGTTTCATAAGGCAGATCAGATCATTTTAGGAACTTGCTGGATTTTTTTTTCAACAGACTTATCCTTCTATATTTGATAATCTTATTTTTCAACAATTCATGTTGTCAGACCTGTAATTTCTCAGATCTAAGATCCGTGTTTGAAATTTGCATTATCTTGGCCATTCTCTAACCTTCTCATGAAGAAGTTGAGCTTAGGGACATATTTTTGTTACAAGATCAGTAATTCCATATTTGACTTCTTCATAGATCTCTAACATAGATATCATCTGGGCCTGGTATTTTTGTAGCTTTCAATTTGTTAATAAGGTTGAGAAAGAAAACTCTTGTCACCACTATTTATCTCAGTTCAGGCACAGGTGTCTTCCCTACATATTAATAGAAATGGGAAATGCTCAAGAGGAAAATGGAGATTTGTCTTGATTTTTAGCCTTCTAAACCTTGGAATTGCTGCAGTAATTTAAAAGTAAGAGTGTCATTTACATATGTAAAAAAAGCTACCCGATACAGCTTATCTGAAAAGTTATCTCCTAGAAAACACTATTATTGTATTTCATTGGGCTGTTGGCATATAAATCATCCATGCAGGACAGAAACAGTTGAGCTCTTATTGAGGTAATAAACTGTCTGGATTGTATCAATTTAGACTACAGATGGCAGCTTCCATAAATGAATGGAAGAAAATCAGTGTCAAGTGTTCTAGTCTAATATCTTCTTTACAGGGAAGAACTGGGTTACAGGATCCCTCACCTGCAACTCTAAACTGGTACAGCCCCAATATAAATTGACTACCTCTCAACTAGGAAAGAGGGATCACAAACGTTGTTTCACTTTTCTATACACTCATACACACACACCCCTTTATATCACATGCTTGGCAATGGCATAAGACACAGGTGCCACTAGAGGGAGTTCTTTAATTTTGACTTTGCAAAGAGACCCTACAAGTATTTTACTATCATCAGTTTTCTTTCACCAAGATTTGTGCAGTTGTGATCGCCATTCTTTTTTGTTTGAAGCTTCCAACAACTCCCATCCCACCAACATAGGCTTTTACATTGTGGATACAGCTTGTTCTTCATTCACATATTTAGGGTGAAGACAAATAGTACATTTACACACCATAAATAATCTAATGGAAACTAATGGTCAGGAATTAAACTTGTATTGTGTATTGTCTGGATGACACTTGCTGAAGTGTGCACGTTTACAAGCATGCTTCTGGGCAAACTGGAAGTTCCATCTAATGCAAACGTATTGCTAATTTATATTCAGGCATGAAAAGTCCGCTCAAACAGTTAAAGGTTGAAAATATACAGGCACTGCAAACTTGTCAAGTTTATGAGTAGTAGACTTTACATGTGAAAGCTGCACCATTAAATTGTTGGTATCCCCCTCCTACATTATTATATAAATGTAATACAAGACCTAACAGTGACAACTCAAAGTGATCAGGCACTGAAACTGAGCAGTCCTCTAGCCTAGGACAACCCTGGGAGACAGTCAGTGTGAACCTTTAAATACTTTACAAAGGCTCCCTGTATAGTTTTTTGGATTCCCACAGCAGTTTTTACCAACAAAAAATGCCTACCAGGTTTTAACATTTGAACATTGTAATGATTTTCCTTAACATTTCATTCTCATATCTAAATGTGGTATTAAAGATCGAAAGAGGAAAACGAGTACCCCTCCCAGCCCCGCATCACTAGGTGCACCTTCATTCCAGCCGAAAAGCAGGCAACCCACCTCATTTGTCCTGTTACTCGCACATTCTCCTCAGGTAGGCAGCTCTGGCACTGCATGGCTGTTCTGTCCTTTAAAGTTAATGGTGCCAGTATGGTCAGGACTGTACCATAAAGGCCACAGACTCACATCTTTCTGCAATAATACATTGCTTGGTCCTTTTAAGACAAGGCATAAGGAGTTGCTTAGGTATCTCTTATCTACTTTACAATAATGGAATCCTACTATTCATAATCTTTTAAATATATGAAAAATACAGAAACATCTAGGTGTACACTTCCAATGAAAAGTCTTCAAGTGATGCTGCATCTTGCTTGTCCTTGTAAGGGCAACAATTTGCTTGTACAACATGAAAGAGAAGAATACAGGACATCATTGATACTGCCTATAGTCTCCAAATGGTGAGGGTTGTAACTGAGAAGGATCGTCTGAAAACTGAGGGCCTGTAACAATAAAAAAGCAATTAGTGCATAGCAGCAGGTTACACTGGATATATTTTCAAATTAAGTAATTTATCATTTATTTTATGAAAGTTTCAAGTAGCTAGGAGTAGGTCATCCACAAACCATGAACACAAACTGGGATAAATTTGTTTTAATCTTTAGTAGCAGACAGTGCTGTACAGTAGAAGTCAGTACACAGATTAGCTTCTCAGAACTGTGGCACTATGCTGGAGGCTGAGTGAAAGGAGGCAGCGGCCGATCAAAGCTCAGTAGCAGCCTCCTTTAAGGGAAGACAGTACACTTTCCCTGGAGACTTTCACTGGTTCTTCCCAGGTCACTAGTAGCTATCTTGCAATACACTGGTGTGCTCAAAGACACAGTTTTGGGATTACAGCCACATAAAGCAAGAGCTGGTAGCTCTCTGGAATCATTATGTGGCTTGCTTAATGTTTGTCATGTTTTAAGTGAGACACCTAAAAGATACCTTAATAGCCATTTCTTTGTTAATGGCTTGTCTCCTTTCATTTAAACCTCTTTTTGATCTAGAAAGAACTTCACTCAAATAAAGAAGAGGTACTCACAAAAAGAAGAATTAATAACACAAGGAAAGTCTCAACAAAGCAATACTAATATCGTGTATTGTACCTGAACTAAGATGGACATCTTACCATTTGGAAATTGTGCAGATGCAAACCTTGTTAGTAGGATACCTGCTCCTTCAATTAAAGCTAGAAGAATTCCTCCCATAGCTGCAGATCCAACCATGGCAACTGGACCATCTAAAAGAGGCAAAGTAAGAGAAAGATGGCTTTTAAAAACATTGTATAATGGCAAGCCAGACTGTTCACCATTTTATAAGCTGTAAGTACATTGCCAGTTTTACAAATTTTAGGTGGGAAAGTATATAAGAAATACTGAAGATTAGGGGATGTTAAAGAACAGGCATTGTATGATTCCCTTCCTGGGTGGCTTTATAGAAATGTACAGTATTCAAATATCTCCTTGATGCTAAGGTAATACAGCTGGATTTCCTGCTAGATGTAATGATATGGTATTCATTTTATGGTTTATGTCTGATAAAACTCTTAATACTGTGAAAAAGAAATGTCAGAAATATATGCTACTACTAAATAAGGACACAGGATTACCTTACATTTCACTCATTTGACAGACCTAAAAGCAGTGCTTTTTTTGTAAGAAAAAAGGTGCTGGAACTCACATCTTGTTAATCTTTTATTAAAAAAATTATATATTCAGTTCTTAACATAAATTTAATTCATTGTATTTAAGGCAAATGTTCATAGTAAATTCCAAAGTTTTGTCCAATTCTCATCCGACAAATCTTCTTGCCTCCTTTCCCTGCTGTTAGTATCTACTGTATGTGTTCTGTCGTGTCTGTTAATATTCTGGCCTTTTTATTAGCAGGACCAGTGGTTGAGAAGTAATTAGTAATTTTTTTCATTTTTAAATTTGGGGTCACACTTTTACACTAAAAATTTTAAAAAGATTTTCAATTCACCAACTTTTTTTAAAATAAAGAAATGATTTACCATTCGCACATAGTCAATCACTGTACACACACACACCCACGCACGTCAGTTGTGTAATGAAACAATGGTTGCTGCCCACAGTAAGCACTCAGTGCGCAACCACACGACCAATCACAAGCCAAGCAGCACCATCACAACCAGCGCAGACGAAGTACGCATGTGTCGGACTTGACACACAAGCAGCCCGCATGCACCGTTTTAACGATTTTGCCGCTGACCTGCTACACTGGACAGGGCGATTCAAATTCACATGGACCAAACATCAAATTTTCAAAAGTTACTTTTAAAACTTGGAAAATCTGTTGAAAAAAGGTGCCGGAACACCGTTCCGGTGCGTTCTATGACAAAGAAAGCACTGCCTAAAGTATTTTTCATTTTTAATGAAGTACTTTTTAATAAGCATTCACTCTGAATTAAAGTCCTTACTTCTTGCAGCTAATATGGCACCAGTTAAGGCTCCACTGGTGATGGAGTTCCAAGGATCTTCTTTTCCTCTTGCTTTCACCATACTACAGTCAATCATGGAAAAGAGACCTCCCCACACAGCAAAGCTACCTATTTGAAGGGAAAACAGAGTTAGAATGATTGAAGCAACAGTAGTTTCCTTATTTGGATTTTTGCCTATTAATATAACAATTCTGCTATAAAGTAAAAGATGTAGAAACTGAACTTCCAATGCGCAGAAGAAGCAAGGGCAACCATTGTGAAAAAAAACCTGTCTGTAATCATTCAACAATGTAACTCTAGGGACAGTCCTGTGCATGTTTAGATAGAAAAAAGTCCTACAACTCCCCACTTCTAGCCAGCCATGCTTTTTGTTTTCTGTTTAGACATGTATAGGATTGTGCCCTAACATGTATGTGTAAGCAAAAATTCTAACAAATTAATGAACATAAACCCACAGATAAAACTTAAGTTTCTCAGCCTCTGTATTCACTTTTCCTAAGAGGAACCTATTCACTGCACTCACTAGCAGAAGCCACATGAAATGCAGCCTGTGAAATGCAGTCCACTCCTGACTAAAAGCAGGAAAAATCCCAATCTGGCTCAAGCAGGCACTTGTTTTCTTTACCAGCCCACTTCCCTGTGTGCATTTCCAAAAGGCAGCTGATGGTAGAAAGCCCTATGATGGGGGCAGGCATCTGGTGCTTCTGCTGCATCCTCCTCTTCCCTTAAATTGTTCCTGCAAAGCCAGTTGTCTAGTGCTAAAAATTGCAAGCAGCTACCTTGACAGACTCAAAAGCCACACCCCAAGGAGAGATAAAACATGTAGGTAGTGATCGTATCAACAAACCAGTGCTAGTAGTTTTCCACTACACCATGAACATGTGTTTTGAAAAGCTGGTGGCTCTTAACTGCCCATTCAGAACCAAGCCACCCCAAAATACTTCTCATTACAGCTAGGACCAACATACTGTTGCCTGGAAGATTTGTTTTCTCTCAGCTATTGTGAATATTGCAGGGAAGCTCAGGAGGAATATAGAATTCTGAGTTGAGTGAAGGTGGTGCATGTAAGCATCTTTCCTGATAAAAAAGTGCAGGTGTCTCATCCTTATGAGCCCTGGCTCTACTACACAACTATACAAAGGAAAAAGCGATCTTGCAGCAAGTAGTTAGACCAAGTGGGATTACAAGCCTGTACACATTTTAAAATATGTGCAGGCTCCATATAGTGACATGGAATTTAAGCACATCTACCTGTGTAAGTTTGTGTCTTTCATATATTGATTTTATTAAAAAAATAACATAAGTTTGAATTTGCACATATCTCATCTGTAATTTTCCAGGGGCAGCTGTGGCCTGCGAGCTAGAAAAGAGCTGCCTGGATCAGAGCTCTGTTCTCCAACACAGGCATTGATATAACACTGCTTCTTGATAATTTTGAACCTTTTCTGCTGCCAGATTGAGGGAGTAAAATGTCTGCTGCAGCCTCTAAATCAAATCTGGAGATTTAACTGCATTTTTTTAGATCAAGAGAATGCCAAAGATATGAAGTCTGCCTGCAGGGAGAGGAAAACACTGAGTGAGGTATGACTTCTGGACTTTTTACTCAAACAGAGCATACCACTGGAGAGGGTTTACAGCTGCAGGAACAGTTTGAGGCACAATTAGTCTTGATACGATCAATATTCATGCAGAGTTTGAAAGATTTGATGAATACCTTGGAAATGAAGGTGGCCAATCTTGTAACAAAACTGAGTGGGATGGTGTAAATTACAGGATAATGTACAATACTTTAAGGAGTTGAAGCTCATAAAAGGATGTGAGGTGTGGAGACTAAAAATGTGTGGGGTGAATTGAACTTAAGAAATGAATGCTTTACTGACCAAATTGCAAGGCATCAAACACAGTCAAGGATAGACTATTTACTGCTCTCTCCTTTGCTGCAGTTTGTGAGCAAGACTGATAGAGGGCTTATTCAGGTCACAAATCATACTCCTGTTAGTATGGATTTAAATTTGTCTCCTCATCATGGTCTTTTAGTCCTATTTTATTGAGTAATCAGCCAGCACAAGAAGCCATCCATCAAACTCTAGTTAATATTTAACAGAGAACAATATAGAAAATGCCTCTTCTACAGCCCTATGGGAAACTATGAAGGTGGTAATAAGAGGGATATGTATTAAAGAAAAAGCTACTTCTAAAAAAGAAGCAAGAGGTAGTAAATTCTGATATCACATGGTTCCTGGGATTATCAATGATATTCTTTCCCTTCTAACAAGGGAGTAAAGGACCAGGCAGTTCACAGCTGAACTAGTCCTGAGAAATAAATTGATAATGATAGAGGCTGCATTAAAGTGATGGTATCAATTATATATAAGATTCTTTTGGACTCTGATGAGAGCAAAAATAGTAGTCTGAAGTTGGGAGTCGAACTTATCTTATTGGAAGTTGAACTAAGGTGGAAGTTGAACTTATCTACTTCTATTGATGATGTAGCTTGGATGAGTATCTGGGAAACCACCATATAAATCTGTATCTTCTAATATCAGAGCAACATCTCTTAAGATAATACATAGTTGTTATCTGACTCCTAGAAAACTGGCAGAACTGTGCCTGAAAACATAAAAAGCTGGAAATGACATACCACCCATGAGACGCTAGTGCTACAAATCTGTATGCTCATGCTCTAGTACACCTGCATTCAACAACAGTTATGTACTGAAAATAAACCAAGATGAAATTCCACAAAAATTGTTATCAGTTTCACCTTTAAAACAGAATAGGAAAAAATAACGTGCAAATAGAATGATTACCTCCCAACTGTGGTGCTCTGGTTTTAATAGCTGTCAAACTACCTCGTAACCTATAATTTACACCCTGTAAGAGAGAAAAGTACACAAGTGAAGCAACATCAGTAACTACTATATTTACATATTATATTTAAGGTGTATTTAACATAATCTGTCTGAAACTGGGGCACTGGGTTTCAAACACTAGGGCCAGTGTTTGGGCCACACTGCACTTTGATTTAGTTAATCTGCGGACACAACAGATCAGTTCACTACACATTTCCATAAGGGTTAAGTGATGGAAGAAGGATGAGCTGAATACAGATTACTAAGGCTTTCTCTCTGCCCTACACAGCTTTACCCTGCTGTGAAATGTCAACCCGGCCGTGACCTGTTCATTCTCAGGGGGTGGAGGATAGCTTCCAGGTTCAATAACACCCTGCAGTTTTACACTATTTGTTCCTGTTCCAATAGGTCTCACTGGAATTAACAGTTCTACTAAAATTAACTGCAGTAGGAAGACTACTGAATACGAAATCTTTTATGCATTCCACACTTCATTTCTCTAGCCAAAAAAATTGCTTTCACATGTTTTGTCACTTTGTGTAAAACACCTCATAACAAGCATTTTAAAGTAACCCAGAATATTCCTGAGCTGAATTTAAGAAATGCTTAGCATCCCTTCATATCTAACTCTAGCACAATGTGCAACTGCCTTGATATGAGTATATCTGTTAAAAGAATTGTAAACTTCCTCTACCCTATTGCCTTCAACTATTAAAAAATTCTAAGAAATATTCTTAACTCACCACTGGAGAATTTCTGAATCCTTTGACAGCTTGAAAAATGCCACCACCAATGGCTCCCATTGTGAAGGCACCACCACAGTCATCCACTATTCTCCAAGGGCTAAATGAAAGAAGGCACACCATATGTTCAGTCTGGCAAACATCACATCGTAGTAATCAAATAATTTACTTTCTAGTTCCTAATCTGAATGTATTCTTTACTATGAGTTGGAGCCAAAAGGGCAATTTTAAAACTATTTAGAATTTTTACCACCCAATCAACCTACTTTTGTCCCATTCAGTTCAATGGAACTGACTCCCAGATAAGTAAGTACAGGCTTTCAGCCCAATGGCCTAAAAACAGCTCACAGAATTGATTAATCCTACATCGAAACTGCTCCTTCACATCCCTGCCTACCCAAGGAAGATAGAAAAATAAGCCTTTCCAGTCTCCAACATTCCACACTAGCTGGAAGCTGGAATTCAGAGCCATCTAGAGAACCATAGGTTTCCCAGCTCTCATTATACAAAACACAGGTATAGGTGAAAATTGTAGATGAAAATTGCAACCCTTTAGTTTCAGTAATGTGCAATAAAAATACACAATTCCAATGCCAACTCTTCAGTGTCCACACCTATGTCAACAGCAGCCATTAGCCAATAATGTCAGCACAGGGAAACAAATACTGTGATGACAGGAGAGAAGACCTATTTTCAGCAGCACCCCTGTGGTTTTCCTAAGATGTACCTCTGCCCACTGACCCAACTTACAAAATCTGTTCCATCAGTGATTCCCCCTTGCTAGCAAAGCAACACAATTGGATCAAAGCCCAGAAGAGTGCTGCCCCCATGCTTGTGCAGTCTTGTTTCTGGAGTCCACCAATGTACAGTTTATAACGCAGGACTGCACACAGAGGTTCTCTTAAAGTAAAACCATAATGGTTTAAAAGGATTCTGACTCAGTATGCACATTTATCTAAGAATGGACAACATACCTTGTATGTTGAGACCAGAGGCCACCTACTCCAGCTTTCTCTGCAAGCTTCCCAGAAAGTAGTCAACATTATAGCTAGTTGATGCTCCAGAAATTGCCCAGTAGACCCCACTAGTGGATCAGTCTGCCTTCTGTCCAACCCAGTTACACCCCAGAGCGGCCAAACAAAAACTGAGCACTATATCATTATATAAGCCCCACCCCCATATTATATTTAACAGTAGCCTTCCTCAAACTAGCTTCCTCCAGATGTGTTGGACTACTGGCCATGCTACCTGTGAATAATGCGAGCTGAAGTCCAACACATCTTAAGGGCGCCAAGTTGGGAAAGGTAATACGCGGTTTGCTCTACAGCAGAAAACGAACGAACCCCTTTTCCATTGGCATGGTGAGGCAAAGGCCTGTCTGGTCTGGCCGGCTACACGGAACCTAAGCCAATGATCTTGTCTTTCAGGGGCCGTGGGGATCGGTCGTTTCCCCGCAAGGGAACGGCGTGCCTGAGCTGGTACGCAAGGCGCCCGTCGCTGTGGCAGCCAGGATGACATCCGGAGCTCTCGCTGCCTGGAAGGCAAGGCTGACCGACGGGACTGACCCACCGCCTCCCTCCCTCCAAGGTCATCGGACGCACGCCGGGGCTGGAAAAAGGAAAGCGACGTGACTCCGCCAAGAGCCCCTCTAGGGAGCAGGCGCACCGGCCTGAGCTCTCTGCTGCCCTTGTTGCCTCTGGGGAGATGAGGGAGAGCCGAGCGCGGTTCCTCACCAAGGCTCGCGCGCGTACTCCTCCATCTTGAATCGCGGCTTCCACACGGGCAGGCGAGAACCGCGCTCACTTAGCCGGCTACCGGCATGAGAGTCACGTGGCCCCGGCTAGACTAAGCACAGCCATTGGTCGCCCGGTACAAAGAAGACAGAATCGGAGAGAGTGACACATCTCAGGACGTCTGATGAAAGACACTGGAAAGGGAAGCCGCCTTTAGCCAGAAGTGGAGCGAGAATGGCATCCCTTTACTGTATGGCACTTCTGTTTTAACTTTCAATGTTTTCCAGAGTGAATTTTTAAAACATAAAGTCAGTTTGAGACCGGGCGCTCCAGGAATAATGAAGATATCGTGCGTTTCTATAAGTTCATATCTCTATGTTATGAACAAAGGTGGGCATCCGAAGACGCAGACAGGGAGAGGGAGGAGACAACTGGAAATTGCACCAAGGAGATAGTAAAAATTTAGAGTCACACCCTATTTTAGTCATGGATCTTGCCAGTCTCATTGATTTTTCTATTTTATTTTAATAAAGTGTTAAAAGTTCTGACAATAGATATAGCAAGAGTACATTGCGCGGCTAAAAATAAATTACGGCTATTCTTATAGAGCGTTTAGATTAGGAGTAACTTTACTGTTTATGTCTATAAATTCTATGCGCTATGATATATGACCTTAAGCACGGGGTGGGAAAGGTTATTCGCTTCATTCATTTGTTGTGCGTGGATCTTTATGTGCTTCGTTTTCGGGGAGAATGGCGCCCGATTGGAATGATCGCCTAATAATTCCACTATTAATATTATACAGACAGTACCTCTGAGCATGTTAACATTAAATGTAAAGCGTACTTAATCCTGAATAGTCACCGTTTGGCCTCCGAGCTTCCGCGTTCTCGTGGTGGGTCCTGGCACTGTATGGAGGGGCATTTAAAAAACTTAAAAACATAAGCCAAAGCAAATGCAATCTATGCAAATCCCAAACAGTCATCTATGGATTATGAATGGACTTTCCTGATGATCCCGAAAAGCTGAGTGTCACTTGATTTTGGTTTACTTCTTTCTTTCAAGAAAATCAGATCATCCCGCCATAAACATGCATTGCCTTACGACATGCAGTAATTGAGATTGCCAGAAGATGGGGCACATACGTCGTAAACCTTAAATTTAGGAAAGAGCTCGGGTGCGAAAGGTCGCCATTCGGTTGTCACCTCAAGACTTCAACACCGATAAGCAATTCCGGGGTTGTATTACACAGGTCCAAAATTAACAGATGCTTAATTATGCTACATATTTTTTTAAAAAAAATCTTTTTAGATATGATTGCAACAAGATGCAATTAAGACAGTCACTTCCCATTACCAAACCAAAGAAGGTGATTAAGAGAGAGAGAAAATGCAGCCTGAAAAAATTAGGATGAAAAAGGATGCAGGTCTGCAATATACATACATACATATATATGCATAGGTGCACATCAAGCAATAATTATTGAAGTAGAAATACATCTCTCCTTCACAGTGGGAAAAATGGCCTGAACATGACAACCCTTCAACTAGAGGACTGACCTCTGTAAACTAGGAAATATGGCCACTCTAATAGAGAACAGAGTTCATGTGTCCTGTACATAGGAATCAGACCCTATTGCAGACCCAGATGATGACACTACATTTATTTAATTTATTACATTTTAAACCACCCTATAACTGAAGCTCTCTGGATGGTTCACAACAATCAAAACCATAAAATACAACATAAGATATACTTCAAAAGTTGCAAACTGAAACATAAAATAGAAGTAAAAAATCAAAGTCAAACATAACAGCAATGGTAAGAATAAAATACAGTGCAAGTGGGAGAAGGCAATTCTCTAAATAATACAGAATGAATCATGCCTTAAGCAGAACAGCAGCACATCTTCAGAAGATTATCCTGAGTATTACTTAGTAAAGGGAGAATCCTCTGCACTTTCTATATAAATAATAATATGCATTTTGTAGTATTGTTAAGAATCTTCCTTAATTAAGACATTTAGTTTTGGTTAAATATATATTGCACATTTTATTCTTTAGATTTTCCTCCAAATTAGGGAAGCCTGGCCCCTCCATCTTGTCCCGACTGAGTTTCTGCTTCCCATATCTCAAACAATCCATTACTAATCTGATCAAGTGGTTCAGCACTTCTACAGCTTCACCTGAGTTTCATGAATGGGAAAAACAAAACTGGGCATTATAAATACACATATTAATAACACTTATCTCCCAATTCTCAGATCATCTCACTGTTTTCATGTATACATTAATCAGCATGGGTGCCATGGAACAACAGCATCTTCTCCAGCACCATTTTCTGAAAATGGCCCTGCAAATTGGAATGAAACCACCAAAACACAATGCACCCTAGTCCCAGCTTAGACTGTTAGACATTTTGGACTACAACTCATATCAGTCCTGACCATTGACCATTTTGGCTAAGGCTGAGAGGACCTGTAGCCCAAAATATCTCAAGGTGTCACATAAGGAAACCTGGGTTCATAGTATATTGAGGGCTAGTGAGAGGGCCAGAAAAATCTATGGAGTCTCTCCTAGAAAGAACAGCTGTAGAATGGTCAAAACTGTGTCCATCTTCAGAAATGTCAAGAAAGGATGCGGCTGCTGCACCTTCTCCCCTCTTCACTCTCCTTCCTTACTTGCTACAGCAAAACAAGATTTCAAGTTGGCCCTACAGCAGCAGACAAAAGAGATAAATGTAAGGGGAACAGTGAAGACAGTGGACAGGAGGTGCAACCACTCAACCCTCGCTTGCTGTCTTTGATAATTTAAAACAGGGCTGGGCAGCTCTTTCTGTGTTGTGAAGGAGGTCTGGTGGCCATTTTTGTCTACCTAGACCACCTTCACTTGTAGATGGTGCAATTGGTGTTCCATATTCCACAGGGTGCAGAAGAGGAGAAATCACCAGTTTGGCACTCAAATCAAAACTTAAAACCTGGTAGCCTTACTACTACATCCAGGTGAGAAGACCCACATTACCTTACATTACCTAGTTTACTCTTGAACAGCAACGTTGTCACTATCCCAAAATATACTTAGTAATGTGAAGTCAGCTATGTTCAAAGGAAGACCGAAGAGTCTATTTTGCATTTTCACATACACATAATGCTGAAGAGATCAAAATATTTAAGTCAGTAAGAGATATGCAGGGAATATGTAGTTTACAGAACAAAACAAAACCAAAAAACAACTTCCCCCAAACCCCCACAGTACTATGGAAGTTAAATTCTAATCTTGTTCTCAGTTCCTCAGTTTTCAGCAAGGGGTTATTGCTGTTGTTGTTTTAATGTATGCACTTGCAAATGTTCAATTCAATGCAAATTTACTCAGAAGTAACCCAATGGTGGCTTACTAGTACATCTCTATAGGTCTGTAGCTCTACTCTTTCAGCATGGTTGTGGGGAGCAGGGGTATAATAGCTGTGCTTAGAAAGTGGACTGTAACATGGATTTTCTGTGTTTGTTCCATTGAGAAGAGTATATCGTATAAAATTCAAAGGAAAAAAGAATCAAATGCCAATTTTCTCTGAAAGGAAGGAATGTGTGATCTTTAAAAACGTTTAATGAAAAGAAAAAAATATATTTTTCCTCAAATCTCCTACATTTTATTGCCAAGTGTAGTACATAATTGTTGACTAAGAGGATGGTGAGTTTCAGTAAAACTATTCCAAGATATTACCCTAGAAACAATTTTGAGGCATTCATTGTTAGAACACTGAGTTGTTTACAGACACATCCCAGAAGGTTTGGCTTTAATCTCCATGTCCTTGCTCCCAGCCAACAGATTGTTGGATTTTGTTTTGTTTGGGGTTTTTTGCATGCTTCTTTCATTGCCTTTAAAAAGCAAAATGTTCAGGACTAAATTTGGTCATGCGGCACTTCAAGATTCCCCGGAATGTCCTCAAGTTTCAAACTCCTCTGATGAAACCCAGCTCCACCTCCGACTCATTTGACTGGCCCAGCTAAGCCAGGCAATAGTGGTCTGACTTTTCATTGGCCAGCTGTTCTTCATCTGCATAACTATTATATTCCAGGCTGTAGAGAAGTCATAGTTTCTTACATGTAACATTTCAACACCTCTAAAGTAAGGCAAAGAAGAACCTGGTTTCCTTGAGCTGTTTTCCAAGAAATCCTATCAATTTGCTACTTGTTTTCTTCTCACCTTTACAAAAATATAATACACACAGTGTTTTACCTGCAAACTGCCAAGATGTCCAAGGTAGCAAAATACAGAAGGCAAGTCAGTGAGGATCCAGATATTGACAACTTACTATCCACTTTGTCTCCAGAGGAGATGGAAGAACTAGAAAAAGAACTGGATGCATCCGATTCAGATGGAACCATTCCTGTGGAACTCCAGCAGAAAGACCAAACTGACAAGCAACCTAGTGGCAGATACAGTCGAGAGCCAGTGCTCAGCTCACGTGAAAAGGAGACCAAGAAAAGCATTCAGAGGGAACAGTCAATGGATGTAAGTCATTGCTCTTGCTGTATGGGGGAAAGGGGGCATTTCTGCAGCAGAAAAAAAGAAAAGCAAAAAGCAGGTCCAGTCTTGCTTCTCTGTGAAACCCACATAAGGGATTGGAATTGGGGGGGAAATCAAGAAGTCAAAAAGTGAGAATGGTCCCTTCAAAATAAAGGTGCGGATCATGATAAGTTGAAACAATGTTAGACATTATTAACTCTTCCAAGGGGGATCATGAGGAAACTGAGCAAAAATTGTAAGCTGTTAGTTCATTGTCTTGCATTGTCACAAATAGTTTCTCGAGAGTCCATGAATGTATATTTAGTTGGTGTTTGGCACTTGCTTGCATTGGACTTCTGCTGTCTGGTGCCCTCCTGGCCAACAAGCTCCATTAAGAGGCTGTTCTCCACACCCGCACCTCTGCCCCACCCAACACTGACTTGAGCTCCAGCTCTGCTTCTTTCCAGCAGCCATCCAGCTTCATCACCCCAAAACCTGAAGCGCTGACTCTGGGAGTCTCCACTCAAGTCCTCTGTGGTTGAGGCAGCAGTACTGAGAGCTGACACTGTTGCCACGACTGAAGGAAGGAGCAGAGGAGAACCATTGCAGGAGAATCTGCATTGGTTATGAGGGTTGCTAACATTGTTTTACTGTCCTTCCATGTTTAATGGGTGAAGCTTTTCCTGGCTCTTATCCCCATGCCTAGAAAAGCTTCGCTTGCTAGCTTTCTGTATCGAAAGGTCAGAATCAGTGCCAGCAATAATGGCAGCAGCCTTATTTTGTGCCCCCTGACAAGCTGCCATGGGAGGCGGATGGTAATATTGTTGTTTCTTCATAGGGGAGAGGCTAGGCTAACAAGTCAGTCTTTTCAGGAGCAGTTACTGCTGCCTGCCTGGGCCTGTTTATTTATGGATAGGAACAGAGCAGGGAACAGCTGAACTTGCCTGTGCTGCAGACCATTGTCCAGGGAACCCCTTGCACTTGTGGCAGCTTTGAGGTAGGGCCAAGCCCACCCCTGACCTGTAATGATGGGAACAGGCATTGGGATGAAGCAAAGCTTTGTGACACGTCTGATGCAAGAGATGTCATTGCCTGAGCAGGCAACCAAGGTGCCTCCCCTACCCCATTCCGTGCACAGAAGGCAACCAGAGGAGCAACTGAATCTTATATCAACCCTGGTGGCCCTCCCCTGTGCCCAGACTAGGCAGCAGGCGTCTTGTGGACATGCCCCACTGCCGCTTCCTACATTGCAGCATCTGCTAACTGACGAGGCTGCTGCACTCCGTCGAATGCCAGGGCTGGCTGTGCTCTGCGCGCTGATGCGTTGTCCCCACACCTCTGAGGGTCATTGCAATATAAAGGCTCCCTTCTCATCACCACTGGCACATTTTGTGTTAGGCACATGTTAAATGAGTATTGCCACTATTATTTATTTATATAGCGCCCTCATAGTGCTGGACAGACTGCACCCGGGGACTTAGAATCCCGGGCTGGGGAACAGGAGCATTGGGTACACAGGGAAAGAATCTGCGTTGACTTCAGGAGAAGAGGGGTGGGTAACCTCTTGGAGCTGGGGCTGCATTTCTACCCCAGGCCGCCACGGTCGCTACTACATTTGCTATTGCTGTGCTAGCCACAGCAAACAAGGGAAAGATTTTTCATGCAAGCAGGGTGCACAGGGGGTGCATACCTCATGGAATAGCAGAATCGTGCTTCTAGGAGGCTTTCAGGAGTGTGATTCAGCTAGCAAACAAGGTGAATGCTCCCTCCATGCCTCGTTCCCTTGCAAAATATTCAGGTTGTGTTTTGTTTTTGCCAGCACAGGAAATTCAAGGATGGGGTCACAGGTGGCCTACATCCACATATGGCTCATGTCCATGTTTTGTCCATCTCTGCAGTAGGGCAGAGGTTGATGGGCTTGTATCAAAGCCTTCTGGGAAAAAGTAGACTTTGAGCAGTGATTGAAGGAAGAGAAAGAGATGCCACCATGCAGATGTTTTGGTGTTATGACACCTAAAACATAGCATGCATACTAAGGGGACCCTAGTGAAGTACACCATGGATTACTTAACTGTTAACATAATTAAATTAAATGTGTTTGTGCCATCTCCAGTCACTAGGTGGCAGGCACCCCCAATCAGCACAGAATCTTGCAGTGGATACAGTTGAAAGCCTTGGATGAGTGGTCTGCGGGGCAGAGGTATGGGTTGTCCCTTCCCACTGTAATGGAGCAGGGTCCCTCAGAGAAGGGACTCAGGCTGATCCTCCCTCAGGGGCTATAGGGATAGTACATGGCAGGGGTCAAGTCTATTGGAGCAAGCAGTCATGGCTTCAGTCCGATGGGGCAGCAAGTATTCCAGTTTGACAGCTGTGTTTCTTTGCTTGAAGACTTTGCTGTAGCAACCAAGGGCTCTTCCAGCCAGTGTGAGGCTGGGTCTGTTTGCTGGCTTAATTATAAAGAACATCACTACACAGACTTTTGGCCCTAACAAAGCACCTGGTGTGGTTTAGAAAGCAGTGTGCAGGGGCTATGTCCTTTTCTTACACTCACAACAGCTAGAAAATTCAACAGATCAAGCAATTCCTATTGTTTGACTTTCCAGACTGGTAAAACAGTGCCTATTTAATTTCTTCTTAATAGCACATAGAACCCTCGCCGGGGCGGGGGGGGGGGAGGCAGACAAATGGTAACAGAATCAAATATCTTTCACCACTAGCATTATTTCTGGGGACCATTAATCCCCATAAAACTGGAGGATTATTTAACAATTTTCAAGAGCTGCATGATGAATCCTAAAAACAATTTAAGGGCTTACCTTTAAAGATTGTGTTGCATTGCATTGCATTGCATTGCACTGCACTGCACTACATTTATAGCTTGCCTTTTCTACTCTTGCAAGGAACCCAAGGCAGCTTACCAAGTTCTCTGTCACTCCATTTTCTTCCTCACAACAAGAACCCTGTGAGGTAGGTTTGGCAGAAAATCTGTGACTGACCCAAAGGCACCCAGTGATCTTCATGGAGGAGTGGGGAATAGAAGTAATCTATGAGGTCCCCAGTCTAACCCTCTAACCCCCACACCATGCTGGCTGCCAGCAAAGATAAGGCAGCAAAGAGTTTTTCCCCTTCATTTTTTAAAACAGAACCCACCCCCAGCACATGCCTTGCTTCAAGCAAGAGCTGACCTGGGGGCATCTCCTGCATAATTTGGCACATGTCCAGGGAAGCACCAGTATATCACACCCACTTGTAGAGGCAGCCACTTTTTCCCCCTGTTAAAGAAAAGGAAGGTTAGAAATCTACCTGCCTCTTCAACTTTGAAGATACACTCACCCTGAGGCTGGCTGAGGTATCTAACAGCCTGAGAGGAGGACGAGATGCTGTCCACACACACCCACCCAAATCCATCTGCAGAAGCTTGCCACACTGGCCGCTGCATCTTATTTCAAGTTCGGTGCTGGGTCAGTTTCCTCCACCTCACCTGAGAGCAGCAGGCTCACTTACTGGGCATAGGCAGGCTGCTGAGCACTCACAGTTCTGTCCTCCAGCAGCAGGAACGGCAAGGGGGCTGGTCACCACCAGCCCCTCAGACCATCCAGCATCTGGTGCTTCAGCCAGCCCTCTCAGCCCCGTCACGGTCTTGACAGCCCTGAGCCACTCACACCCAAACACTCTTGAATTGCAGTCCTGCTCCTGCCAAGATAAATGCAATCAGAGAGAAAGAGAGCTGTTGGGAGTTCTTTGGCTGAGCTGAACAACTGGCCCAGAAGCATATGGGAAACAGCTGGGGAGAGGCTGTATCTCAGTGCCAGAGTACCCGCCTTGCATATAGAACGTCCGGGGGTCATTCCACAGCATCACTGTGCAGTGCTGGGAAAGGAACCCTGGGATCTTGCTCTTTTCTGCATGGGGCCTTTATCTACCCCCTTTACAGAGGTGTCTGCTTTCCCATGGCTTGTAGCTTAGCTCCCTGGCATACACATTTTTCTGAAGGCTTCTCTTCTCTGCCTTACTGCATGTTCCTTTATATAACCACAAGGAGACATGCCAGTATAGCAGATTTCCAGAAATATACAAACTTCTCATTCTGGATCATTGCACTGTTTCCAGCTAATACTACACTTTCCTTGATCTTCAAAAGAAATGTTGCAGAAATGGTTGGGAAGCAGGAGAGAGACTCTGAAGGATGATGACGTTGTGTGAAGCACCAACATCATGAATGCACAACCAGTGTCTCATATAGAGAAGTCCTTCACCTCAGGTATTTTCAGGACTGCAATACCTGGTAGAGCACCTCTCTTGCTAGGAGCCTGCCCATGCAGGGCGATCATCACTTGAGGCCCTTCTCCCATAGCATCCTCTCAAGGAGTCTCAGAGAGTGGTAACAAAGCAGAAGGGCTTTTCAGTGGTGGCCCCGCTTTCCCCACTGAGGTCCACTTGCACAAACATTGTCATCTTTCTAGTGCCTAGTTAAGACTTTACTGTCAGGCATTAACAACATAGAATTTTTAATGGGTTCTGGGTTTTAGTGTTCCTGATGGCTGTTCTTGTTTAAAATTGTTATATTTTTGTATGTAACTGGTTGTATGTTATTATATTGTATTTTTAGAGAGTTTGATCTTTGCAAAATGTCCAGAAAGCTTGGGTACTGGATGGTGGAGAAATGGAGCAATGAAATTAAATGAAACCCTGGAAAGATGCTGACAATCAACAGGGGCAGTAGCAGTCTAGAGGGATGAGTGGGCTAAACGGTCTGACTCAGTATAAGGGAATTTCGTATATTCCTGATTGTCTTGCAAAGGGATACAGCTGTTGAAATGTGACCTGCGGTTGTGTCACAGTGTCTAACGTGGTGAGATAGGAACATAGTTGGTCCTTTGTAGATTACAGATGGTGCAACTTTCCCCCCCATCATAGAAAGGAGAAATGGAAGCATCCAGGAAGAAAAGTTTAAGCTATTTCTTCCAGGGAGTATAATTAGAATCTCCATATCTGTTGGAAACACA